AAAATAAATAAATATTTTTTTTAAGAAAAAATTCCCTTTAGTGGCCAAATGGAGAATGAATTGGATGAGGATAGACTTGAGGCAGGCACAGCCACCAGCAGACTATTGCAGTAATACAGGTGTGAAGTGATGGGGGCCTGCATTAGAGTAGTGGCAGTGTCAGAGTTTGAGAGAAGGGGTCATATTCAAGAGGTGTTGCAAAGGTGAAATGAACAGAATCTTCAGCATAAAAATGGTAACATGGGAATCAATGAGATCACCCAAGTGAAGTAGTATACAGGGAGAAGAGAAGAAAGGCCTCAGAATTCAAAGATGAAAATTAAATAGTTGGGCAGTTAGGTGGCGCAGTGGATAGAGTACTAGCCCTAGAGTCAGGAGGACCTGAGTTTAAATGTGGCCTCAGACACGTACACTCACTAGTCACTTAACCCCAATTGCCCTCACCAAAAAAAAAAAAAAAAAAAAAGAAATAGTCCCTTTCCTTAAGGAAGCCTACAAATTTGGGGAAAAGAGACATTGTGTTAACACAAAAATATAAACAAAATACATTGAGAGAACTAGACTTGTGATTTCATTGATGTAGAGAGCTTCTAGATGATGAAACTCTCTGCCAATGAACATTGGCACCTTCTCTACAATTTCTAGTCTTAAAGAGTTGCCGGAGCACTTAGAAGTTAAGAGTCTTGACCAGAGTCATACAGCCAGGAGATGTAAGAGATGGAACTTGAGTTTAGATCTTTTGATGGGGGAGAGGGAAGGTATTACTAGTAGCTAAAGAAATCTGGAAAGGCTTCATGTCAAAGGTGGGGTTATACATTCAAGTTGGGAGTTCATTGAGTTCAGCTTCCTTATTTTATGGGGGACTGAACTGAAACCCAGAGAGATAAGTGAGTTGCCCAGGTTTGCACATGATGTAGTATCTGCAGCGACATTTGAACTAAGGTCTTCCCAACTCCCAAGTCTAACACACTCTCCACCTCACCATTTTGTCTCTTGAACTGAGCTTTAAAAGGCAAGCAGAAATTTGGATCATAAATAATTGGGAGCAAATGGAATTACTGAATAAGGAAATTATATGGTCAGACCCGCACTTTAAGAAAATCACTTTTACACCTTGTAGTAGATGGATTGGAGTGGGCAGAGATTTGAGACCAGGAGATCAATTAGGAGGCTATTTGGTAGTCCAGGTGAGAAGAAGGCCTGAACTGGGATGGTAGCTGTGGTGATGGGAGAGAAGGAACTGTATTGGAGGGAGAGACAGAAAGTATAAGATGCTGAACACTTTACAGCTTGTTGAGGAACTAGGTGGCACAGTGGACAGAGTGCTGCAGTCACGAAGACCTGAGTTCAAATATATCTCAGAACCTTAGTAGCCTTGTGACTGAGGGCAAGTCATTTAATCTCTCAGCCTCTGTGTTGAAGTCTGTAAAATGGGGATAATACCCACCTCCTCTGTGGGTTTAAATGAGATGACATGTAAAGTGCTTTGCAGACCTTCAGATACCATACGGATGTGTTTTCATCATCATCATCCTTTCTAAAATGTATCACCCAGAACTAAGCACAGTGATTCAGATGTGATTTGAGGGCAAAGTCCAGTAGGACCAGGATTATAGGACCATAGCTGGAAGGAACCTCAGAAGCCTCCTAGGCCAGCTGCCTAGATCTGCAGAGATAAAGTGATTTACCCAAGTATATCCAACACACAGTGAGTAATAACCAACGTGAAGGAAATTGTGATTTTCATATTAATCGATATGGTAAATGTAATGAATATACTAATAATTTAGATTTTTCAGAATTGCCTCCTCTGGTTTGCGAGTCAGAAGCTTACAGTGCAACTTGAAATGATCACTCAAACCCTTGACAACACTCTCACAATAACTGTATTCTTGTGCCTGTTTGTAAATGAAGTGAATGAAAGATTGTAGAACCTGTTCCCATCACAGAACTCTGGTCCTGTGACCCACCAAATAACCACAGACCTGAAATAACAGTGTTGCCACAAAACTTCTGGACACCTGTATTGTGGGCTTGTTGTGGGAAACCACTTAGACCCTGGGAAATGATTGTTTATAACCCACCTTTCCCCTCCCTTCCCACTTGTGATTTATGTGTAAAATCTCTGCCTTCACTTCAGCAAGGTGGAATTCTGATCAGGAGAATTCCTGATTTGCAAATCTGTTCCTCATAATGAAACTAATTAATTAAACCACTACTTGATTACTAGCACTTTGTCTTTGGCCTGCTATTTTATCATTCCCAGGTTAGAGACTGGCTCAGTAAAAATCCTGTTAACACTAACATTTACGTAGTGCACAGGCAGTGAGCTAAGGCACCAAAAGCAGAATTTGGCTGTAGGTTCTTTGACTCTAGAATCAATGATGACCTTTCCACTGAACCACTCTGCTTCCAGAAAGGGAAAGGGGTTGTTCCCCTCCCTCTTCTTGGATGCTAAGCCTTCAGTCACTGTACTCCTCTCTACTTTTCCAAGACCTCTTGCCTTACTGTCCTTCCTTTGAAATCTTGACCCCATAGTTAACCAGTTCAGCTTTACCCGGGCCTTTGCCAGTGAGTCTCTCGTCCCTTTGTCCTCTCATTGCTCATCTTTTCTAAACTCCAGTCTTGGCTTATTTTCCCCCGTCTGCCTTCTTTGTTTTTACTTGCATATTACTGAACATGGCTAGGGGAAAAAAGTCACAATTACAGTGCCTAGATCCACTGCAGATTTGTTATCTAATCTTAACTGGATCTTCAGTGCTTCACACAGTCCCCTTCTCTGATTGGCTGTCTTTCTCACTTCACACAAACCTATTTTCTCTTCATACCTCTTATAATCATCTTTACCTACCTCCTTCTCAATAGGGGACCTCCCATTATACTTAACTGAAAAAATTGAAGCCATCTAACATAAACTTCCCCTTCCCCTCAGTTCTACACTTGAAGTCATTTTAACATCATTCATTCTTTCTTGGCTCTTGAGTCTTTAAGGAAGAAATGGCCTTTCTCTTTGCAAGGCTAACCCCTCTACGTGTATCTTGTTACTACTAGCAATTCTTATCTGTTCTGCAAGCCTAGCCCTTCATTCTGAATCTCATTTCAAAAGATTCCACATCTCTCCTTATCCATTAAATTCTTCCCTACGAACATGCCCAGATTTTCCACATCAATTGGGAAAAAAAAAAAAAAACCTTCACTTCATCCTACCAGCCTCTGTCCCAGGCTGTCATCCTATTTCTTCTTTCTTTCACGGCCAAATTCCTAAAAGATTAAAAAAAATTTTAAAGACTCTCCTTTAACTCCCACTCACTTTTCCACCCTTACAAATGTAGCTTCTTAATCATTTTAGCTGAAACAGCTCTCATTAAAGTCACCAGTGATCTTTTTATTGCTGAATCCTGTGGCCTTCCTCTTTCTTCATCTTTCTCAACCTGTCTGCAGCATTTGACAACTACTGACAACTCCCTCAGCCTAGCTACTTTTTTTTTTGTAACACTGCTGTCTTGTGTATTTAATCATGACTGAGTAATCTTTCTCAATCTCTTTTTCTAGAGTATCATCCTTGTCCTGCCCCCTTTATGTGGGGTATGTACCCACATAGAACTTAATAAATGCTTATTCATTCATTCCTGAGCTCCACCTAGATATCCTATACATATTTCAAACTCATTGTGTCCAAAACTGAACTCATAAGCACCTTTATCCCTAAATCCTTTCTTCTTCCTGACTTCTAGTCACCCAGGTTCACATCTTCACTTTACCTTATTCCTCATAATCCAGTTCGTCAACAGATCTTGCTAGTTCTACCTCCATGACATCTCTCTCATCTGGTCTCCTCACTCAATTCATACAGCCACCACTCTAGATCAGCATACCTTCCTCTGCTTCTTCACTTTTGTTCATTTTCCTTGGCTGTTCCCCGCCAGGGAATGGTCTGCCTCCCAGCTTCCCTGGCTTCAAAGCTCAACTAAAATCCCACCTTCTACAAGAAGCCTTCCCATCTCCCTTAATGAGAGCCTTTCCTTGGAGATTTTCTCCACTCTATCTTGTATATGTCTTGTTTTTACAGTCATTTGCAAGTTGCCTTCCTGATTAGAATGTGATCTCTTGGAGAGCAGGGACTATTTTTGTTTCACACATAGTAGCGCTTAAAAATGCTGGGTTCTAGCCAAACTAATACCTGCAGTTCCTTGAAGTAGGCATTGTATCTCTGTGTTTGTATAGGCTTTTCCTATGCTTAGGATGGATGCCCTCCCTACTCACCTCTTGAAATTCCTCTCGCTCTCATCAGAACTCAATTTAAGCACCTTCAAGAGGCCTTTCATGATTCCCCCTGCTATCAGAAATGATACTTATCTTGTCTGTAATTTATATATTTTTTTCATATATTTTGTCTTCCCTCCTCCTAAGTAAAATGTAAGGTTTAGAGGGCGAGAGCTACTTCATTTTTGTCTTTGTATCCCCAGCATCTAGCATGGTGTCCAACACATAATACCTGTTTAATAAATGCTTTTTAAATTGAACTAATATTATTTCTTTTCCAAGCTTGGTGTTATTTCATCTATCTTGTGAGCCTTCTGTTTCTGCTAATGGCCTTACCTACATCGCAGCTCTGCTACATGGTATTTAACTTGCTAGCCATCCCTCGACAATTTTTTTCATTTTCTTCCTTTCCTTTTAGAGTCCTTTTGTTTTGATTTGCATACATATTTAATTGAGGAGAAATAGGCTTTGGGAAGTTGAAAAACTTTTCTTAAGTAAAACAGATTCTGAATTAGCTCTGAAGACATCATTCTCAAGTACTCACTACTGTATAAATGAGCACTGAATATATTAATTTTATCATTCTCCTTTTTGGTGAATTGTGCTTCATTTTGCTAGAATTAGCATTCTCACTTTGCTTAATGAGTAATGTCGTTTTCTCCCTTGCAAATGAAGCCGTGGCTGATTTTCATTAAATAATTATCTTTTTTAAATTGATTTTTCTTCTTTGTTTTTAGATTCCCGAATTTGACAACTTGTACCTGGATATGAATGGAATCATACATCAATGTTCACATCCTAATGATGATGATGTTCATTTCAGAATTTCTGATGATAAAATTTTTGCTGATATTTTTCACTACTTAGAGGTATTGTTTCGCATTATTAAGCCCAGAAAAGTTTTCTTTATGGCAGTTGATGGTGTGGCTCCAAGGGCAAAAATGAACCAGCAACGTGGGAGACGTTTTCGGTAAAGTGAACATTTTAAACTTTTGTTTAAAAGTATTGTCTCAGATTAATAATGTTTTGTTTACTTTTACATAGTAATTTAGATTGCTGTTATTGATATTTTTTTCAATAGAAGCTAGAGTTTCATAGAAGTTTCATGAAAGCTAGAGTTGGAAAGGACATTATTGACCTCTTAGTCCAACCCATACAGGAATCTACATTATAACATACCTGACAGCTGTTCATCCAGGCTCTGTTTGAAGACCTCCAGTGAGAAGAAGCCCACAGTTCCTCCAAATTCCACTTTCATATATCTCTATTAGGATGTTTTTCCTGACATCAGACTTCAACTTGCCTCTTTGAAACTTGTAGTTATTGTGCCTGGTTTTGCCAGTTGATACTTAATAAACAGAATCTACTTCCTCTTCCATATCACAGCCCTTCAAATACTTGAAAACAATTGTCATGTCTTCCTTTTTCTTCTCCAGGATATCTCCCCTGATTCTTCAACAGATCCTCATGTGAATTAGATTCAAGGTCTATATTTAAATCATTACTAAGAAAATTAGACAGCACAAGGCCTAGCACAGATCCCAGGGACACTCCACTGGAGACCTCCTATTAAATTAACTTGGAACTGTTAACAACTCTTTTTTGGTACAGTGGAACAGGCAATTACTCTGAAGTTGGATTACTATTCCAGCTTACTCCATGAGTGACCTTAAGCAGCATCTCTGAGCCTTAGTTTCCTCATCTATGAAAGAAGGGAATTGGACCTCATCCCTCGGAGGTCCTTTCCAGATTTTGATCTATGATCTTATGATCCATTTTTTTCTGCAAGAATAGTAGGAAGTACTTGACCACAATCTTAAGTAAATGATTGCTACAGCATTTTTCTAATATATCAGCTTAGTAACTATAAAAAAGGAAATAATGTTAGTCTTGGCATGAACTCTTCTTAATGCAACCATGATAGATCTTTGTAATCACCATTTCCTTTCATTAAAATATATTTTATTTAGCTAATTTTTAAACAGATAGTCATTATAGCTTATAGGAAATTAAGATCAAGAATTTATGTAATATAAAGCAAAGAAAGGTTTATCTTTTATTTAGTAGTATAGGTCACACATTGAGTAGTTACTGAATTATAGCAGTATGACTTTGACTATTTTAAGTGTATAGCTTCTAGGTGTTTGCTACTTAATGCATTTAATACATCAGTACCTCAAGGATCCAGGATTTTGCTGGTATGGAAGTTTGTTCCATTGAGCCATATCACAACCCTTCTATAACTCATGGCCTAGCAAGTTGTCTTTTATTACATGGAATTGTGGTCTAAGCACTCATAGGGATACAGCTGTGGGACAGGACAGGGCTAGTCCTGGGCTGTTCTCTAAAAGGTCTTCTGAGTTTCTGTTATTTTAGTTTTTCAGCAAAAAAAAATATAATCTTGGTAACAGAGGTAATTCATGTTATTTGATTTTTATTTTGGAACATTTTTAAAAGGAAATGGTAGACAAAAGAAAATTCTGTAATTTTGTTTTGTCGTTTTTAGCGTTTTATCAAAGCATTTGTCTTCTAATATGTAGACACAGGTTGTCCCAAAAGCCGTAGTGCAGTATTAATCTATTAAAGCTAAAAAAAAAAGCTTTGAAGAGCCTCAAATGCTGTTTTCTGGAGTTCTTGAGGTTCGTTTTTAACCACAGTTGTGATGCTGTGGAATGAATAGGTTGTTTACAATGTTACAACTCAGTAGTCCTCCAATTCACATATTATATCAAAAATAGAAAAATCTTGTAGATTATCTTCAGTCATTTTTAGTTCAAAACATTTTTCAGGAGATAAAAGTTTTAAACTTTTAAAATATCACAATTGTGGAATGAAAATGTAGAGGAGTCATTAATTGTATTCTAGGTGTTCCAGGAAAGAAATTTTCTAAAAATCTTAAGTCTAAAAAAATTAACTTAGTATAGTGCCCATTATTTTAATTTCTCAGGATATTTAAAACACTCTTTTTTTCCTCTCAACTTTTAAGGGCAGCAAAGGAGGCAGAGGACAAAATCAAAAAAGCATTAGAAAAGGGAGAAATTCTCCCTGCAGAAGCAAGATTTGACTCCAACTGTATTACACCAGGTAAATATATTTAGAAAGAAATTTTGAGGAAGGTTTAAAATGTTCATTGACAAGTATTTGAAAAAGATATTTCATTCTTCAGTTGTTTTATCCTGGACAGAGTGTTCAATTTGTTGTGTTTTCCCAGTTGTATCTCAGAGAATTACTAGATGAGTCAGTTTTCTGAATATTAGTCTTAAATTTCCAAATGATTAAATCCACTATTCACATGGACAGGGGAAATAAACATTTCTATCTGATTCTTTATAATCCAGTGTTATCTTCCTCTACTCTCTCCAGAACAACCCTACCGACAGTAGCAATGGTAGCAGTAGTGGGAGTGATTTTTAACAACTCTTAAAGTTTTATTTCTTAAAATGAAATCTTACAAGGAAGGACAAGGGTACAAAGGTGTGGTTAGCAAGATTATGTTCTATTGTCCTTAAAGAGCCCTGCCACTGAGCCATGATTCAAGTTGATGCCCAAGGTCATGACAAAGACGTATCTTTTACCTTTCCTATTTGACAGTGACTCAGTTTTAGGGTACCTTGTCTCAGTGATATGGACTGTTTACCAAGCAAAGGTTATACCACACTGTTAGCCTGTTTACTGGGAAAAAGTGTGCCATAGTCCATATTTTAATATATATGTAAAATCTTACTGATCATTGTAATCTTATGCTTGCCATCTCAGGTACCACAAGAAATATGTCTTGTACCTTGCCACTTAAAAGATTAGGAACCCAGGGCTTATTTTTTGTTGCTGCTGGTAATGGGATCTTTCCTTAATGGCATTAGATAAGGTTTGTTTTTTTTTTTTTTTAACAGGAACTGAATTCATGGCCAGATTACATGAGCATCTGAAGTATTTTGTAAATATGAAGATTTCCTCAGACAAGTCATGGCAGGGAGTTACTATCTACTTATCAGGCCATGAGGTTATTTTGTCTTTTGACTGCAGCATTTTTCTAAATGTGATTTTCTGAAATATAGCATATTACCCCTTTTTTTTTTACTTTATGTTCAGACTCCAGGAGAAGGAGAGCACAAAATCATGGAATTTATCCGATCCGAGAAAGGAAAGCCAGATCATGATCCAAACATCAGACATTGTCTTTATGGTTTAGATGCTGACTTGGTAAGTATATATATGATGCTGAAATTCACCACTATCCTAATGATTTCAGTACTATAAGTGATTAATAGAATCTTTATACATAAATTTGGTATTGCTTACAGGAGATCCACGGAAGATTGTAGCTGCAGAAATGAGAAGGAATCATTATAAGACTGGGAGAAATAGTTGGGTTTTTTTAGTTGAAGGAGGAAGAGAGTTGATAGCAAGAATCTATAGTGTCAGGGCAGCTAGGTGGCGCAGGGGATAGAGCTCTGGCTCTATTAAAATAATTTGAACCTGAGTTCAAATCCGACCTCAGACACTTGACACTTAACTAGTTGTGTGACCCTGGGCAAGTTACTTAACCCCAATTGCCTCACAAAAAAAAAAAAGAAGAAGAAGAATCATCTATAGTGTCTGACCTTAGAATGTAAGCTCGAGGGTCGGGGATGAATTTTGTTTCAGTCTTTGTGTCCCTAGCGTATAACAAAGTTCTTTGCATGTAGTCCAGTAGATCTGTGACCTTATTAATGTAAGTATTATAACCATACAATTCATAGCTCATTCATGCCTGCTTGTTTCTTGTTCCTCATAATCTCCTGACCTTACAAGAAAGGCAGTGAAACACACAAACTTTCCATCAAGTAGCCCTCACTCTTACCACATGAATGACCTGTCTTTTCTGTTAGAGAGCAAGGACTTTCTCACTTTCATATTTTTATTTCCAGTGCCTGATACATAGTAAGTGCCTAATTGTTTTTCCATTTTATTCCATCATACATAACTTTAATACCATTCTTTATACCACTTCTGCATAATTCCTTTTTTAGTGTGTGTTGCAACCTCATCTCACTGTATTAGTGATCCTCAGTTTACTTCTTTAGAGACTGTAGCAGACCATGACTCAAAATCATACAACATTACCAGAGAAATACAGCTGTTAAAAAATATACTCCCCCTATCCCCCCCCCCCCCCCCCAAAAAAAGGGACATTTGCTTCAGAGAACAGCTTGGGAGTCTTTGAAAAAAAGGCATCCGAGGGGCAGCTAGGTGGCACAGCAGCGGCCCTGAAGTCAGGAGTACCTGAGTTCAAATCCGGCCTCAGACCAAACACTTGACACTTACTAGCTGTATGACCCTGGGCAAGTCACTTAACCCCAACTGCCTTAAAAAAAAAAAAAAGAAAAAGAAAAAAGGCAATCCAGTTTACTCTTCCTTTCCTATTAAATTTTATTCATTGTCCATTTGCTCTGTGTGTGTGTGTGTTTAATACACAATATATGATAAATGAACTTTACAGGTTTTATATCCAAGTATATCTCTCATACTCTGGTCATTAGGGATTCTTCCTCTTGTGTTATTTTCCTATGTGGATAATCAGGCCAATTTCTTTTGAGTGATCCTGGCTCTGATTTAGGAGTTTCTGCATTGTTTCAGAACTTGATGCAATTAAGCAATGTCATCCACATATAGCAGCACCTGGAGAACCTCACCTTCTATAGGAAATTCCTCTTCAAATTGGACATTGCACTAGATCTTTTCCATGAGAGTGATGAGCATGTCTGGAGAATATATATTGCCCTATTTTATATTTCTCTTGGTATTAATTATCAGTGTCATTAAACAAAGTTGTCTCTGTTATATTTTTAAGGTATGTTATTTATGTTGGCATGTACATGGGAGGCACCTTCTTGAAGAATAGTCTTTAAGAGGTGGTATTTTGCTCTACAGAATCAAACTTTTTTTTAAGGATAATAAAAATACATTAGGATCCTGTAAATTCTATCTCCTTCGGTCAATGGTGGCATAGTAAAGATGTGATTTGCTATGAAATATCCATTGCAAAAACAAGCGATATTCCTTTACAATGTTCTTATTGTGGATGACTTTGATACCTGTAAAATTTATTTTTGTAAAAGTTGTATGCAGTAGTAAAGTAGGCACATAGGTAGATTAGCAGTTAAATGTAGCTATACTCTCACTTTTTGAGGGTAACAATGAGGTTCATTTCTCCCCCCGCTCTTCCATTGGTATCTTCCCCCTCATTCAAATACCTCTCCCTGTCCCTCAGTGTCCTCAAAATTGTGACCTCCAGGGTGGACATTTCTGTACATACTTGATTTAGTCTTCCTGCTTTTCCCATCTTTGCTTTCTCAATGCCATTTGTAATTCTTTAAAAAGCATGTTCAGAACTGTTATGTTAGAGTTCAGATATGGCAGCTTTACTGTCCTTGATGGCAAAAAGAGTTCATTATAAAAATACCCACTTAGTGAGATTTTCCATCTTTCATCTACTTATTATCATCTTTCCAGTTTTTTTTTCATTAAATAACTTCAAGGTAACTGCTTAGTTGGGTTTCTAACAATGATTTCCTTATAGTTGTTTTTTCTTTCACTGTCTCACTACTTCCTGTTTTATGAGGTGATATATATTACTCATAATCTCCTTCTAAGATTTCACAAAGGAGTTTATAATCCAGACAAATGTTGCCCTTTGCTACCATCCCTTCACTTGCCTAAAGCATCAGTTTTTAGGGTCTTTTGGATGTCTTCATTACAGCAATTGATTTGCACTAGTTAGACTTCTGTACAAAATTATAATCTGTCAGTTTTGTTTCCATTTTTCATTCTTGGTACTTGTTTAACTACATGCCATATCTTTTTCTCACTTTTATTCTTCTAGTTTGAATCCTTGATGTCTCCTTTCTACTCTCCCTTCTATTCTGTTGCCATAGATGGTGAACTGTGTGAAAGGCCAGTAAGGGTGAGGGGATGGAAACTGAAGTTCCTTTACTTCTGAGCCTCATATGAACACTGTTGTCTTAATCACATAAATGAGTTTTTATGTAACTAAAACACTTCATTTTATCCCTGTTCATAGCCATCACACATTGTACAAAAGGAAACCTTTTATAATCTCTAGCTATAAGAATCCCAAATTCACAATATTTTATGCCTTAGTAAATAGTAAGCATATTCTAAAATAAAATGTTATGTACATAAATGTTTTTCGAATAAATATTCATAGTAAAAAGTGAACCTGATATCGTAAACTGTTGAATAGAAACATCTCTTAAATCCTTTTTCAACAGATTATGCTTGGATTAACAAGTCATGAGTCACATTTCTCTCTTTTAAGGGAGGAGGTCCGATTTGGTGGCAAGAAAACACAAAGGTAAATCATGCCTTAGAAAAGTATGTGCCAAGGAACATAGGACAGTGCGATCAGAGAAGACAGTGTTATTTGAGGATAGTTTGTCAGCATTTAATTTATTGAGAGAGTAAAAGAAAAATAAGGCTCATTATTTCCCTTGCTTGTTCCCATTCCACCAGAGCCACTACTCTCCCCAGTAAAAATTCAGTACATACATCCATACATCTTTTAAGTACATACATCTTTTAAACTTTAAGAGCAGCTAGGTAGTACAGTGACTACAGTGCTGGGTCTGAAGTCAGGAAGACTCATCTTCCTAAATTGAAATGTCACCTCAGACACTTACTAGCCATGTGACCCTGCGCAAGTCACTTAACCCTGTTTGCCTCAGTTTCCTCATCTGTAATATGACCTGGAGAAAGAAATGGCACACCACTCTAGTATCTTTGATGAGAAAACCCCAAATGAGGTCATGAAGAGTTGGACATGACTGAAAAACAACTGAACGACGACGACAACAAAGTTTATGTATACCATATTGTGCCATTCTACCGTTGTTTAATATCCATTAGTTTTTTCTTTCCAGTAAAATTGTAAGTTCTTTGACATTAGAGACTCCATCTCCCATGGCCTTTGTAGCTCCTCCATGTATTGTGCAGAGTAAATGACTCAAATGCGAAGATAACTAATCTCTGCCCAGCTTTTTTGAATAATCACAAATTATCCATCGTTGAAGCTCCTTTAACGAGGCTTCACTGTATAGTGTAGGTTTACTTATGTTCCTGTTTAACACAAATCAGTGATTGGCTTTTTTTTTTTTTTTTTTTTACTAATAGAGAACTGACCTTTTCCTTGGCTTTAGGACTTCTGTAAGATCACCAAGCCATGATGTGGAAAGTTACTTTAACTACTTTAACTCTTCCTTCCTTCATCATTTGTTGAGTCCTTTCAGTTGTGTCTGACTCTTCATGACCCTTTTCAGTGTTTCCTTGACAAGGATATTGGAGTGGTTTGCCATTTCCTTCTCCAGCTCATTTTACAGATGAGGAAACTGAGGTGAATGGGATTAAGTGACTTGCCCAGGGTTATACAGTTAGTCTGAAGACAAATTTGAACTCAGGTAAATGTTTTCTACTCTGTGCACTGGGCCACCCAGCTGCCCCAATTCTTCCTTATACTTAAACTGGTACAACTTACATTGCGGGATAGGGGGCAGTGAGAAGAGGAACTGAACTGTTCTGTCTCTGTTATAACCTTGATATTGCACTCTAGGGCTTCTCAACCATTTTTCCTCCTTTTTTTCCCTAGTTGACAACCTTAACTGAGTCATATTCCAGTTAGAGATGTTAGGCCTCTAAAATGTTTCTGTTCTGAGTCAAGTATTGAAGCATCATTTTTTAGTAATGTGGTTTTTTCAAGTCAGAAGTGTTCCTATATTTTGAGATTTTTCTACACAACTGGCTAATACTATTTTTAAACTTCATTCTAATTTTTCTCTGTTGTAAAATATAATTTGCTTTTATCTATAATAAATGCTATCATCATGCTGACTATAAAACTGAAATAAAATTCATACTATCTTCTTGATAGGTAATTTTGGTATTCAGTTTTTGTTTTGATATTCTGACCTTAAAAATGTAAATAGCTGTTTTAATCTGTCTAATTTTCAGGGTATGTGCACCAGAAGAAACTACATTTCACCTCCTACACTTGTCTTTAATGAGAGAATATATTGACTATGAGTTTTCAGCATTAAAAGTAAGTATCACAGTAGCCAAGTGCAAAAAAAAGCTCTATGTGTAGAATTTTTCATGGCATTTATTTTTTTCTCCACTTTACAATAGGACAAGATTTCCTTTAAATATGACATTGAAAGGATAATAGACGATTGGATTTTAATGGGATTTCTTGTTGGCAATGATTTTATTCCTCATCTACCTCATTTGCATATCAATCATGATGCACTGCCTCTTCTTTATAGAACATATATGACTGTCTTGCCAGAACTTGGTGGTAAGAAATCTTTAACAATTACACTGAAACTAATTTAGCATCTATACACACTAAAAATAGCACTCAGTTTATTAGGTAGCTATGCAAATGGCTGATCTGGAAAGAAGGTGGGTCCCTTGTGGGTCAGAGTTCCCAGATTCCATAGCACACTGTTTAAGCCTACAACCACTTTATGAATAGTGAAGATTAAGTGGCCTTCATAATAATTACTGTAATTCTTGACATTAACCCTTTAAAGTTGGTGAAGCATGTATTAAGAAAACTGACAGAAATTGCCAGCTTCGTAACTATAATGTTAAATATAGTTAAGCCTAACTTTGGTTAAAAAAAAAAATCCTGGCCGTCTCACCAAGTAGGAACCGATATTATTATGGATCAATAGATTCTACAGGAAAAAAAGGAAAAGAAAAATGGCTGATAGGAAGGGAGATGGAACATTGCAAACTAAGGGTCAGCAAAGGGAAAAAAGTCGATCAAACAGAGAGGAAGTCAAGACAGAGTAGCCAACCACAATAAATTAAAGCTTTAATAATTAAATGTTTTATATTTAATCAGTTCTTCCCTAATATTGTTATAGTTTATATAGATTATGAATAATTTTATGGTTGTGTAGGCCTGTATTCTGTTTTTCTTCCCCTTTTCTGGGAGGGGAGAAAATTGGGGTTAAGTGACTTACCCAGAGTCATACCAGCTAGTAAGTGTCTTGAGGCCAGATTTGAATTCAGGTCCTCCTGACTGCCGGGCCTGTGTTCTATCCACTGCGCCACCAAACTGCCCCCATCATTTATTTTTTGAACATTATAATACTATATGAATACATAGAAACTAGGACTAACAGAATAAGTCTGAATTGGTCATTTTCATTGTAATGCTAATTAGTAGAATGTCATTGTATGCCTTAGGGTGCCTAGAATTTTAGAGTTAAAAGGGACCTTAAAATTCAACCATTCTGAGTTATTATTTTCCATATCAATCTGTACATATTAAGCATGTGCCTTGTACCGAGCATTATGTTAGGCCTTGGAAAAACAAAGACAAAATGAAAAGAAAAAATTAAACTGTAACACAACACAGTAAAGTGATGTTCCCAGCTTCACACAAGTAGTAGTGTGTGAAGGCTTTTTTTCCCCAAATTCAGTGTTTTTTCCACTGTACCAACCTTGATCCATTCATTACTCATTACATATATAATTTTTTAGAAAATTTTTTTTAAGATTGCACATATCTTTGGATTTTAGTATAAATTTTTTTGTCTTCTTTAGGTTACATTAATGAAAATGGCCATCTCAACTTACCTCGGTTTGAGAAATATCTTATAAAACTGTCTGATGTAAGTAATTAAAAAGTTTGTATATTAAATCAGCAAAGGAATCCTTTATAGTTGAATAACAAATAATTGAAATAGTAAGGTGTACCGTAACAACTTTAAATAATACCAGTGACTAATATGACTGTTTTTCTCAAGTTATTTCTCATTATACTCTCTCAATTAAATCATGTCTTGTAACAACGAAAACTTAGCAAAGTCCAAAGGGTAAAGTGGCTGCATCTGTCAATATTTGCAACATTTCACACTAGAAGTCTCCCTCTACTCCAGTTATTTTAAGTTAAACTAAAATATTTTTGTACAGTTTGATCGTGAACACTTCAGTGAAGTTTCCGTTGACTTGAAATGGTTTGAAAGCAAAGTTGGCAACAAATACCTCAATGAAGCAGCAGGTATTGCAGCAGAGGAAGCAGAGAACTACAAACAAAAGAAACTAAAGGCTAGTAAAGTTGTATTTTTTTTTCAATTTTCAATTACAATTACAAAACTCATTCTCATTTCCTTTTTCATAGTGTTAGGGTTTCCTTAGTTCATTCTTTACATTTCTTCCTGTTTGTGGACTTTTTTTTTTTTTTTGCCTTTTAAATGTTTTGCCTTTTTTATGTCCTTTCTGGTCTTCTAAAAGGCAGTTTGTCTTCCTTTACGTCTTTTGAGCTAACTTATGGGGCTGGTTCCTCTTCCCTACACAGCCCCAGATCATACTCATATATTCATTTCAGATTTTCTAGATTCCGGAGCCCAGATAATGACCTAATTAGCCTTCTCTGACCTTCACGTGACCTGTTCTTTTCTTTAATCTCTGTTACTCCTCACTTTGTGTCACATTTATTTGTGTGTATGGATCTTCTACTCACTCTGACTCCAGTAGAATATAAGCCCCTTGTGGGCAGGGGCTGGTCTTCCTTTACCTTGCACTTAGGGCATCTTTAGTGAATATTCTAATTTTAATATATTTTTAAAGTCGAGTGTACTAGAATGGTCCTTTACATCAGTTCTTATTTTTATTCTAAACTTAAATGCCATCTAATCTATGTATATAATAGAACAAAAGTTATACATGAAAATTTGGGTCTTTGTTACATAGAGCTCTATTATGCCTGTGGGCACAAATGGCAGCAGATAGAGTAGAAAAAGAGGAGAGAGTAGATGCTGTTAAAAGGAGAGAAGGTGATAGTGACAATGGTGTTGGGGAGAGTAGGTATGCCGGAAACAAATTGGAGAGTATGAAAGGACAATAGACGAAAAGAGTTGAGTGGGAAAGGTAGAAGAGGGAAGTAGATAGAATTCAGAGAATTAGTAATCAACAAAAAAATTAGAAAACAGGTTTTTATTAGTTACCTAATATTATAAATATTAATAGAAAGGGATTGTGTTAACAGTAATACAGGATTTGCTATTTTTTTAAAGTAACCAACTGCTTAATAACAAGATTTATAATTGTATCGCATTGTTTTTTGTAGTAGTCATATATTTTGTTATAAGTAAGTGTTACATTCATGAAAGTTATTTTATTTCAGAAGCTTATATATGTAGTCAAAAAGTTTCTCATTTCCATTTGTAAAAATGTATCACCAACAGGGTATTTTTAAAGACTTACTTTGAGGCCTTTTTTAAAGCTTTGTCTTAGACTGACAAGTAGCCAATAAAAACAAGGACCATGATGTTATCAGATGAATCAGTCACTTCCTGGTAATGACTAGAATCTTGTATAAGTCACTAAACAAGCTCAAAGTCAATTGTATCCTCAGATTTTTGACTATTCTGCCACAATAAACTGTATCATAGTAAAACTTGACTTGTTAGATTGCTTGTCCCTGGGATTGATCTGCTCTCAGTCTGCCCTATTAATTAAAGGTCTCACACCTGTTCTCTATCCAATTCTTTACCGTTTGTCACTGTCACAGTAGTCACTGAGGCTGCTGAAGTTACCGATGTATTAACCCTCAGGTTTATTGCCCCCTCCTCTGGCCATGTCATCATTGATCTTGGAGTTAGTAAAGCTGAGGACAATGAAGTGGAGCAGAAAATGTGTAATCTTGGTAAATGTATAATCATTTAGCACAGTGCCTGGAACATAGAAGGCACTGTATAAATGTTAGCTATCATTATCGTTATCATCATCATCATCATCATCATCATCATTATTATTATAAAACAGGCTAGCTGTAAGTAGTGAAGAACATCAGAAAGTTGAGTTTAGTCAATAATGATTTTGAGGATGGAGCAGAAACAGAATAATAAGTCCAGGCCAAGGCTTCAAAAGGTTTCTTTGTGTCCCTGATCAGGATATTTCTTATCAACCAGCAACATGTACAATTCTTACTGTATTTACCAAGCTTCAAAGATAGCATTGTTTTGCAAGTTTGTTGTATTTTTTGCAGAATTAATCATTTGTGCTAATCATACATTTTGCTTTGCTAGTATACAAATAGTTATTGAAGCAAAGATCTGCTTTTCTGGATTGGATTTGTATTTGTTGTTCATTTGTTTTTAAATTCTGAAGACAAAATATTAGGGAATAAAGACAGCATCAGCATAGGTGCCACACCACCATTAAGGGTGTGAAATGACAGAAAAGAAGGAAGGTAGAAAATAAGAGGCAGCGGAAGTCCTTACTTATGAAATCCCCAGTTATCTGTGGAGTCTCCCCAGTTATTTATTGTATACTGCAGAGCAAATTGTGCAATTTAAGTATTGATTATAGAAAAACCAGTTCATTTTATACTAATACAAAATATATGGTTTTCAAATGTCATTTAAATGTTATTTGAAATATTTTTATCTTTCGTGTTCTTCTTGCTTATAAAAGTCTGAAATAAACACTTCCATTGGTTTTATGTAGTTTTTTATGTTTTAGGGCCAGGAAAACTCCATGTGCTTGGCTGCTTTAGACAAAACTGAAGAAGAAGTAGTGGCTTCAAAGAGTGAGCAAAAAATTCTCCCTTGTATTTATCTTCCATTTCTACGGGACACATCACCTACCTTTTTTGTATTGGCATCCAAAGTAGATAATTAATAATATTAGGGAGGGGGAGAACCTTATGTATGAGCCTACTTATGATCATTCTCTTGACTTTGTTTCAGGTGTCACGGAAGATGAACCTGAAGATGATGACCTCTTTGAAACAGAATTTAGACAGTACAAGAGAACATATTACATGACCAAGATGGGAGTAGAAATCGTTTCAGAGTAAGTACCTCTCATGGCTTCCATGAACAGTATCAGTTGTATGTAGAGTATTGTTCTCCCTGCTGGGGAAGGTACAAAGTTTCAATCAATAAGCCCATTCCCTGACCTCATGGAGTGACATGGTATAGTGGGATGGGTGCTGAGTCTGGAATCCAAAGACCTGAGATTGTTTCCAACTTTTCTAGTTGTATGACATTAGTCAGGTTTCCTCTCTGAGCTTAAGTAAGATAATGGATATAAAATGGTTTGCAAGCCTTAAAAAAGCACTATGTAAGTGGTAGCTGTTTATTATTAAACTGACTGTGAGTAAGACTTGCAAATATGATTTACCACAGACTTTTTGTTAAAAAAAAAAAAAAGATTCTGTTCACTTTAACGTGCTGTAAAAACGTGAATTATTATAGTCCAAGATGGCTACAAGACACCTATACAGATAACTGGGCATGAGAGCTCCAGAGCATGTCACTCAAAACTTTGTGCCAGGTCAGAGGATGAAGGTGGCCCATCCTGGCACATTCAGGAAAGTTCTCTTCGAGTCTAAGCAGCCTAGAAACTGTGCAGGCTTTGAGAAAGGGAAATACGTGCATGTGACTCTTTTTCCATTTCCAGTGACTTTCTGGCTGACCAAGCTGAATGTTACGTGCAGGCAATACAGTGGATTCTGCACTACTACTATCATGGAGTTCAATCCTGGAGTTGGTAAGACCTTTGCCTCATCCAGAAAATGAAATGGTTGTTGATCTCTAATAACCCTTCTGTCTTAAAATTTCATGATGCCATGAATTTTATGTTGTGTTTTCTTTTGATAATTACTGTGATGTACTGTATTATCATTTAGAGTTTTCTTTTCTGTACTGCTTTTATTTATGGCGACTTTTCAAGTGAAATAAATATTAGCAAGTTTAATTGAAAAACAGGTAAAATCTTGTTAACTATGAATAGTATTTCAGAGAGCTTTGTAAAACTGAGGTATTTCTAGTTCTGAGAGATGGCTCATAGTAAAGAGTATCTTGTCGTTCTGTTTGCAGCCCATCATTTGCATGAATAATCTCTGATTTCTGTCCATTTAATTTTCACTCTTGACACCAAGTATCTAAATTGTATATGATTTATAATTTGGGTTGCAGGAGGGACGAATTTACTGGTGTTCATTATTTCACTGTTTATTCCTTCACCCTTCCCATCCAGAGCAGAGGGGTGTGTGACCTATAAAAAGTTTGAGAGACATAATTTCTGGGTAATTAACCATTTTCTTAATTATGGTTAGTAAATAATAAAGGGATGGTCATTTGGTCATCTTTGGGTCACCAAAGACACATCATGGCAGCCTGTTGATGCTTATGTGTCCTTGGAAAAGTAGGAGTCAATCAACTCTGATTGGTTAAAATTAATGAGAAGAATGAACATTATAATAAGAAGTTGACCTAATCTAATGATTATGTCACCTTCACTCCCCAACCACCCCCACCCCCAGCCCCAGGCAGTCTATACAAAGGATCTACCCCCTACCCAATCCTGAGTAGAACCATAATGGGCTTCCCCTTTTAGGTGGAGTCCGAACAAGATTGAGAAGAATGTTAAATCCAGTCTCATTATCAGCTCTTTTCTTCAGGGGTTGATTTGACCTAGTAGAGAATGAGGAAATAGAAGGGAAAAAATGCTGGATCTCCCCGGTAGTAATTGGTTATTCAGATAAGAGAAATAATAAATTCTTTTGGGTGGAAACAAATTAAAATGCCTAAACTATCTACAAAAATCCAGGAAGTAGAGAACATTATTTTTCTTACTTTATTCAAAACGCTTCCCAAAAAAAGCAAAAATTAATTTGGAGTTACTTAAAATTGGTGTTTTACTTGCATGTTTTACAAAAATATGTTTGTATGAAACTAATTGTCCTGATTCTTCTGTCTGGCCCTCCCAGGGCTTCCCAAAATCCATGCTGAAAAGGAAATGTTTAATTTGCCCTTTCTCATAAGATAAAACTTGACAGCTTATATAACCTTAGTATCTGATCCCCAGGTCAAAGCATAATTAAAACTTTTGTTGTTATTTGCATGCTATCTATGTAATTATCAACAATAGATTGAATTATCTTGATTCAGTCTCTTAAGGTTTCTGGTTAAGGAAATATTTTGTGTTTCATAGGTATTACCCTTACCATTATGCACCATATCTGTCAGATATTCGCAACATTAGTGAACTCAAAATTCATTTTGAATTAGGAAAACCTTTCATGCCATTTGAACAGCTTCTTGCTGTACTACCAGCAGCCAGCAAGGATTTGCTTCCAGGGTGCTACCAGGTGGGTTTTAGAATTAAAGGTATTTTATCTATCATTTGTTTCTTTTGAAATTTAGTTAATTTACTATTAAAGGTAGCCGTGTGGTTGCATAAAACTCGTGAATGAGATTATAGACCCACAAAAGTAATCATGTTAAATGTGTTTGGTTTAGGTTTAAATATTAATCATAGTAATAATAATTCAATGTTTCAAAGAGATAGGATATTGTAGGTATGGGTTCTCCTTCCCCTAATGCTGATTTCAGGCCAGAATTGTTATTAACTCCCTATTTCACCAGATTATGCGGAGGCTTAAAGATAAAGGACATGTAATATACTGGACAGACCATTGGTCCTTTTCTTGTTACTTATTGCCTTTGTGACTTTGGGCGTATTCCTACCTTTTCCGTTTCTACTTCACCAAGATAAGGTAGTTGGACAAAGTAATAGCTCTAAAGTGCTTTGATCTTACACGTGCTCATGAAGTGGCAGAGCTGGAAACAGAACCCATGAATCCTTCCTAACTCCTACACCAGTGCTCTTTCATGATAGCACGATTGTGATTAATCCCCAGGGAAGGAAAGTGAGAGTTACTGTTTCTACTAAGAAATAGGAAAGGGCTTCTGACAGCATTCTAAGCAGGACTATTACAGTTTGTGATAAAAAGACTCTCCTGTACAACCTTCATTGTTCTGTGTCCATTTGAATATAGGCAGAACTTTGTTAATTTGTATTCCAACCTGCTAGTTCCTTCTTCCTGTTTCAGTCTTCCTCTCTGAGCATCCAGCATCTTTCCCACCTGTTGTGTAGGGGGCGGATTCCAGCACCTGGTCATCAACCCCAGCTAAGTTAATTGTTCTTTTATGACCTTGACCAAGTCACTTAATCCTGTGCCCTCAGTTTCTTCTTCTACTCCTGTTCTAAATCTCTGAGCCCCTCAGTCCAACACTGTCACTATCATCCTTTGTTGGATACCCCATCTTCCTGCTTCCCTATCAAAATGGGGGAATTATTTAATGTAATTATTATTGTTTGTACTCAGTTGATTATGCTTTGACCGAAAGTCATATACTATTGTGATGGCATCAATTGTATATTTTAATTTTACCTTTTTTTCCTATTAAAAAAAAAGTGAAATGAATTTTTTTTTTTGGCTAGTTAAAGGAACTTCAAGAATCAGTAATCATATAGGGATATTTGGGAAGAGTGACCAGGGTTAGGAGACTAAAATTATACAAGTCTAGGCCTGGAGAGATATGGAATTTAATCTTGTTAAGGTAACTGGGGGAAGGATTGGTTAGAAAGGATTGATTGCTCCATCCCACAGGAAGTCTTCCTTAGTGGCATGAGACCAACCATCTGAGGCTGAGGACCCCATGTCACTTGTCAGTGGCCTCTTGTTGCCCTGGTCCCCCAGCCCTAGCATTTACGTGCTACCAGGCTCCTGCACTCTCCAGGATTCCCCTCTCTCTTCCCTCTCTTAGTCTGCCAGATCTTCTTTTCAACTTTCCCAAACCTTAGTCCAGCTCCTGCCTTCCCTCTGCCCCCGCCTCCCATATGTATATTTTATGTTTCTAGAAAACTTGACCTCTCCTTATACCTCGGCCCTCCTAAACTCCTTATTTGTTTTCATTTAGGCAGCCATTCCTCCATTCAGTCATGCTTTCCCAGAACATTATATGTGCTGTTACTTAACCTCTTTCCCTGTCCTATCTTCACTCCATAGTTAACTAGTTCAAACTGCATTCCCATCTACTTTTACCTAACTTGACATCTTGTCCTGTTTTTGTTATCCTCATTCTTAAAAAAATCTTCACTAGACTCTCCTATCTCTATCCCCTCAAGCTATTGTTCTGTATCTCTTTTTTTGTCATTTATTTATTTTTAGTTTTCAACATTCACTTCCACAAGATTTTCTCCCCGTCTCCTCCCTCCCCCCCACCCCACGATGGCATGCGTTCTGAGTACCCCTTCTCCTAATCTGCCCTCCCTTCTATCTCTCCCCACCCTTCTCTTATCCCTTTCCCCTTCTGTTTTCCTGTAGGGCAGGATAGATTTCTATACTCCATTTCCTGTATATCTTATTTCCCAGTTGCACGTGAAAACAATTTTTAACATTTGTTTTTAAAATTTTGGGTTCCAAATTTTCTCCCTCCCTCCCCACCTCATTGAGAAGACAGGCAACTCAATACAAGTTATACATGTGTGGTCATGCAAAACACTTCCGTAGTAGTCATGTTGTGAAAAACTATATTTCCCTTTATTCTATCCCACCCCACATTTATTCTATTCTCCTTTTTGACCCTGGCCCTCCTCAGGAGTGTTTGCTTCTGATTACTCCCTCCCTCAATCTTCCTTCCACTCTATCATCTCCCTGCTTTCTTATCCCCTTCCCCCCTATTTTCCTGTAGGGTAAGATAGATTTCCATAACCAATTGAGTGTGTATGTTATTCCCTCGTTAAGGCAAATCCGATGAGAGTAAGATTGACTCATTCCCTCTCACCTTCCCCCACTTCCCCTCCACTTTAAAAGCCTTTTCTGATCTGTTTTTTGTGAGATAATTTACCCCATTCTACCTCTTCCTTTCTCCTTCTCCCAGTGTAATCCTCTCTTACCCCTTAATTTGATTCTCCAGATATCACCCCTTCATCTTCAACTCACCCTGTGCCCTCTATCTATATATATCTATATCTGTATATTTATATCTATAGATATATGTACATATAATTTTTTTACCTCCAACTACCTTAATGCTGACAAAGGTCTCATGAGTTACAAATATCATCTTTCCATGCAGGAATATAAACAGTTCAGCCTTAATAAGTCCCTTATGATTTCTCTTTCCTGTTTACCTTTTCATGCTTCTCTTGAGTCATGTATTTGAAAATCGAATTTTCTATTCAGCTCTGGTCTTTTCATCAAGAATGCTTGAAAGTCCTCTATTTCACTGAATATCTATTTTTTCCCCTGAAGGATTATACTCAGTTTTTGCATAGGTGATTCTTGGCTGTAATCCTATCTCCTTTGACCTCCAGAATATTATATTCCAAGCCCTCCAGGCCCTTAATGTAGAAGTTGCTAAATCTTGTGTTATCCTGATTGTGTTTCCACAATACTTGAATTGTTTCTTTCTGGCTGCTTGCCATATTTTCTCCTTGACCTGGGAACTCTGGAATTTGCCTACAGTATTCCTAGGAGTTTTCCTTTGAGGATCTCTTTCAGGAGGTGATCAGTGGATTCTTTCAAGTTCTATTTTACCCTCTGGTTCTAGAATATCAGGGCAGTTTTCCTTGATCATTTCTTGAAAGATGATGTCTAGGCTCTTTTTTTGATCATGGCTTTCAGATAGTCCAATAATTTTTAAATTCTCTCTCCTGGATCTGTTTTCTAGGTCAGTTGTTTTTTCCAGTGAGATATTTCACATTGTCTTCTATTTTTTCATTCTCTTGGTTTTGTTTTACAGTGTCTTGATTTCTCATTAAGTCATTGGCTTCCATTTGCTCCATTCTAATTTTTAAGGAAGTATTTTCTTTAGTGAGTTTTTGAACTTCCTTTTTCATTTGACCAATTCTGCTTTTGAAGGCATTCTTCTCCTTATTGGCTTTTTGGACCTCTTTTGCCATTTGGGTTAGGCTATTAGCTTTTTTTTTTTTGTAAGACAATTGCAGTTAAGTGACTTGCCCAGAGTCACACAGCTAGTGAGTGTTATGTGTCTGAGGCCAGATTTGAACCTCGGTCCTCCTGACTCCATGACCAAAGCTCTATCCACCCTGCCACATAGCTGCCCCTGGACTATTTAAGGTGTTATTTTCTTCAGCATTTTTTTGGGTCTCCTTTAGCAAGCTGTTGACTTGTTTTTCATGATTTTCTTGCATCACTCTCATTTCTCTTCCCAGTTTTTCCCCTACTTCTCTTACTTGCTTCTCAAAATCCTTTTTGAGCTCTTCCATGGCTTGGGACTGATTCATATTTTTCTAGGAACTTTGACTTTGTTGTCTTCTTCAGGTTGTATGTTTTGATCTTCTTTGTCACCAAAGAAAGATTCTGTGGTCTGACTTCTTTTGTGCAGTTTACTCTTGTTCCCAGCCAGTTACTTGAGTCTTAAACTCTTTGTTAAGGTAGGGGTCTGCTTCCAGTGTGGAGAATGTATTGTCCCAAGCTTCAGGGGTTTTGTGCTGCTGTTTTCAAAGATACTTCTAGGGACCTGGAAATTTTCAGTTCTTTCAAGATGGCATGATTAAGGGTGAGGTGTTTACTCCTTTCCTGACCTGGTCTACGAGTGACCACAAGCACTCTTTTCTTCATTGGAACTGTGAGGAGGATTCCTTCTCCACTGCCACTACAAGCCCCACCATGCCAGCTCTCCTTCTCAACCCAGGACCGCCACCCAGAACTGTGACCCAGATCTAAGCACAGACAATGCAAGACATCCTTTCCTCAGCACCAGCAAAGAGATCCCTGCAATCTCCCTCTAATCAGCCACTCAGTCCTTCCTCTGTCTGTGGGCTGAGAACTCAGGAAGCAACTGCTGCCCCGGGGCTGGAAAGCAGACCTTTCCAATCCACCATCCAGGTTGTCTTGGGCTGGAAATTTGTTTCACTCTGTCTTTTTTGTGGGTTCTGCTGCTCTAGAATCTCTTTAGAGCTATTTTGTACAGGTATTTGGAGAGGTTTGAGGGAGAGCTCAAGCAAGTTACTGCTTTTACTCTGCCATCTTGGCTCCACCCCTCTATCACTTTATTAGCCAGTTGTCTTTTCTCACTGCCTGCACTTTAAACTTTTACTCCTAAGCCTTTTTGAATATGACTTCTGACATCCCTCAAAATAAACTGCTCCCTTCGAAGTTATTAACACTATCTTAATGACTACATCTGGTCGTTAGCAAGCATTTATTAAGTGCCTTTATGTGCCAGGCACTGCAATAAATGCTGGGGGTACAAAGAAGGACAAATAACAGTCTCTGCTCCCAAGGAGCTTACAGGCTAAAGAATCACTTTCTGTAAACAACTATATACAAACAAGATCTGTGGGGGGGGTAAAATGGAGATGATCTCAGAGGGAAGGCACTATGAATAAGGAAGATTGGGAAAGCCTTACTGGGGAAGGTGGAACTTGAACTGAGACTTGGAAAAAAAGGAGGCAGAGATGAGGGAGGGAGAGCAGTGCAAGAATGGGGGGCAGCTGTGCCAATGTGCAGAGTCTGGAGATAGAGTGGTCTACGTGAAGACCACCAAGTAGGCCAGGATCACTGGGTCAGCGTGTGCAAGCTAGTGAGGGGACTGGATAGGATGAAAGAACACCAGAACGGTAGGAAGACTCCAGGTAATGAAAGGCTTTAAAAACCAAAAAGAGAATGCTGTATTTGATCCTGGAGGCAGTGGGGAGCTGCTGCGATGTAGGGGAATGACATGGTCAGACTTTCTTCCTCTGTTCATGATATTGCTGACATTGAAACATATATTCAGAACATGCCTTTATGTAATAGAAGAATTAGTGTTTAGCAATTGTATGAGTAATGGATTTTAGATTTCAGTTTTTAATTTTGGAAACTTGTCCAAGGGACAGAGAAGGGATCATTCAAGTACTTCACTGATTAAATAGTTTTTAGTCAGGATTTGAAAATGGCTGTGGGTTGAACCAATGAAGTAGGAGATTATTGTACTCAGTCTGCAGGGGTACAAAAAAAGCCAAAAACATGGTCCCTTAGGTACATAAAAGATACATACAAAATAAATGGAAGAATATCTCAGAGATACAGCATTCCAGAGAGGGGAGCGGGGTAGGAAACCTGACAGAGTTTTTATGACAGTCTGCAGAATTAAGAGAGAAGTTAAACAGTAGGATATAAGAATAGATCGTTTTGCCATAGAAACAGCAAACAACAGTATGTCCCCTTTTTGCCTCTGTGAGGGGACATAGTTAACCTATTGCTTCATTTTAGGGCAATCTTTAGTACTAGAAAGTACAAATTTAGTCTATGTTTTCAGAGCATAAATAATTTAAATTATAATATCTTCCATTCTAAGGAAACATACTCATTACAACTCTGATAATACTTAAACAGAAACAGTTTTCCTTTTATTTTCTGTGTTCTCAGCATTTGATGACTAGTGAAGAATCTCCAATTATAGAATACTATCCTCCAGATTTTAAAACTGATCTAAATGGGAAACAACAGGAATGGGAAGCTGTTGTTTTAATCCCATTCATTGACGAAGTAAGTATAGAAATGTCTGTGATTTTTTTTTCTTAAACAGTTTCTGCCTGACAGACATAATTATGCCCTCGAGACAGAATTGACTCTGGCCTCTGCTGCGTACTGGCCACATGGCCCGGAGCACCAGCGGGCTGGCATGCAGGTCACAAGAAGGTCCCCTGAGTTCCCTTAAGCTGATTGAATCACAGATTCAGCTCCAAAATAATTGCTTATCTTAGAGAATTCAGGAATTGGTTATTTCATTGATAGTTCTTATTCTGTGCATGATGTATGAAACAACTTACTAGTAAAATTTGGCACTCTGCACACATTCAGTCTGTGTAGGGGGGAACTGTTTTCCATTTTTCTACCATCTGTGTCTTCCTGACCAGTATAATGTCTTCTATTGGTTCTGCCATCTGCATCTCTTCTAGCTGAGGCAGTGCGGGCCACTCAGTGTCTCTCTCTCTCCCTGCCTTCACAGTGTTGCTCTTTGCACACTTTCATTTGCCTGGTCTTTACCCCAAAGATTGCAGAATAGACCTTCTGTATTCTTCAGTGGCACCTGTGTTTTATTTTAAATCAATTATATTTTTCCCATTATAATTAATGGATACAGGCAGAAATCTAGTTCTATAAATGTCAAAGTAGAATAGATTTGATTTAAAACAATTCAAGGCATGTTCCTATTGATAATTTTTTTTTACAAAAAAATTACTAAAAAACTATTAATGTTTATTGCTGTAATATATTTTCCAACTGGTACAATTTACTCAAGTTAATGCTAATTAATGTAATGGTCATTAATGTTAATGTTGATTTCGCTATTGTACAATATATGACCTGAAAATAATCTTCTGTGTTAAATATATAGTTACCGAATTTTGAATTTCTGCTACTCCTCCTGCTTATCCCTCCTGCAGGAGTAGTAGCTTCAGTGGGTTGCAATAGCAGCAGTATTTTGGGCTTCAAGAATAGAAATTCATCCCCCATTTTTTGGTGTAAATCTGGAAAAAAAAACAAAACAGGTTTGGCACTGATGATTTTCTTTATAAGAAGTGCGTGTTCTATACAGGGTGTCCCAAAAGTCCCTATGTAGAGAATACTTCCATTACATAGAAGACACTTTTTCTGACTGAGGATTTTTTGGGGGCAAACTTAATCTCTCTCTGATTTTTTTTCTTTAAGACCCGATTACTGCAGGCCATGGAATCATGCAACAAGTATTTGAGAGAAGAGGAGAAGAAAAGGAACAGGCATAGTGAGTGTCTAATGTACTGGTTTGACCAGGATGCTGGGTTTAAGTACCCCTCACCCTGGCCTGAGAAGTTCCCAAGCCTTCAGAAGTGCCGTGCCAGGTAAGAAACTGATGATTTGAAGTGGGAGGAAGAAAGACCTTGCAGTGCAGCCCTTTTGAGAATAAATAAGTGAATACCTTATGCCTATTGAGAGTCCACAGGCCACATATGGCCATGTGTCCTCCTTGAATCTTTATGTCTATGCTTCTTTCTCAGTGCATGGTAGAACTGTCACCTGCTCTGAAAAGGCTCCGATTCAGTTCCAGTACAGTTGAGTTGCTCTGGGAGGAAGAAGGGCAATAGAAACAATTTTGGTTTTGGGTTTAGAGAACCTAGGTTCAACTGCCACCACCTTTAACCATTCATTCTGTGACCTTGGCAAGTTACTGAGCTCTGAGCAATGATTCCCTCCTTTGCCAGTGAGCAGGTTTGACCGAATGGTTCCTTCCAGGTCTAAATCTCTGACCTTAGGAGCTAGACTGTCCTGGGCTACAGTAAGCCATCTGCATTCTGGAACTAACTCCCCCTTTTTTCCTAGCAGTAAACATAGGTCTCAGATTACTCAGCCACCCTTTGCCCAACTTTTGAAGATTCTCCCTACAAGGATTCTCTTTACCTGCATCCTTCCCTTTTACCCCGATGCAGTAACCGTGCACCAACCTTCTAAATGATTTAAGGGGGATTTTCTATGAAACACTACTGATCATCAGGGATACAGTGGGGATATGCGGTGGAGGGAGTTATAGACTCCAAAAGAGTTTTTCAGATGGTGTGGCCTGCTGAATGATTTCAATCAAATCAGAGTTTTGGGGGTAAACAGAGGGAAGGGGGGCAGAGCTTTATCATTCTCTACCTTAAAAGCAAACCTTTAGTCCCTCATAGTAATTTTTTAAAAATCAAAAAAAGGTAGAAAGATTGCTATTGTTTATAAGTTTATAATATAGTTATTCCTCAGTCTAATGACTTTGTTCATTTCTTTAGGTATAAAATAATATCTTTAGATGCTTGGCATGTAGATATTAGTCACACTAAAATAACTAAAGTTGACCAGAAGGCACTGTATTTCTGTGGGTTTCCTACTTTAAAGCACATCAAACACAAGGTCAGTAACTTAGCTTCAAATTGTTATATTTCTGCTATTCAATATGAAACTATAAGAGCTAGAGAATTAAATTATTGGGGTTTTTTTTGTTTGGTTTTTTTTTAAGTTTTTTCTGAAGAAAAGTGGAGTACAAGTATTCCAGCAAAGCAGCCGTGGAGAGAATATGATGTTAGAAATCCTAGTTGATGATGACTCAGATGAACTTGTAAGTATCTCATTCATTCAGCAATTATTGAGTCATTATTATGTGTGTAGCAGTATGTTAGTAGCTGAAGAGTTTTTTAAAAAAAACAGTACTTACCTGGTTGGGAAGACAGTCAAATAGGTAACAATAGCATATGTGGTTATAAGCACCAAAATGAGTAGAATAGACTTATTGTTCTATAGAAATTTGAAGTCAGTGTAGACTGTTGTCATTGGGAAGTATTCTTGGAGAAAGTGAGATTTGATTTGGTCTCTGAAGAAAAGGATTAGGGTTGGAGAAGAAGGGGAAAGGGAGGCAAAGGCATTTTGGGATTAAGGAACAGCATGATCATTTTCTTGAAACCTGAAGTGAGAAAAGTGAGGTAACCAGTGAGACTTAGAGCCAGAGGATTTATGTTGGATGGACAATAGTAGAGGATAAAGTGAAATCAGAGAGTTATGGTAGAGCCAAATCACAAAGGGCCTTGAATGTCTTCTAAAGAATTTGGACTTTATAGTCAGGGAAAAGTAATAGAAAGGTTTGTTTGGTTTTTGATTTTTTGGTTGTTTTTTTTTAGCATTGTGAAATTTCAGTTGGCATTAAGGAATTGTGTGTGGTTTTTGGTTTTTTTTTTTTAAGTAATGTTGTGGTAGTAAATTGGATGAATTGGGTAGTACAGAGGCTTACAAGTATAACGTGTTCCGGAAAGACCTCTGGTAGGGCTGCCTAAAGTAGGGTAATAGTGGTGGGACTGGAATCTACCGACGAAGAAATTACGAAGGAAAAAAGTACCATCGATGGTGAAAGACTGAGGATAGTCAGATATGACTCTAGGGTCTAAAGCCTTGATAGCCTGGGAAGATGGTTGCCATTAAAGGGAATCAGGAAATTAGTTTGAAACAGAAAGATGATAAATTGAGCTATCCCATAACCATGGTTATTTCTGAACCCAGAGGCCAAAAGATAGTTAGCTATATAGAGAAATGAGATTCAAATAAAAGGTTGGAACTGGACATTCGAGAAATGTTGATAGAGAGATGATAGCTGAAGCTGTAACATAGAATTGGTTCAACATGTAAAAAAAAAAAAAAGTGTCTAGAAAGGTCATTTGAGTCTTGGAAAGTGGACATTTAGGAGCAGAAGGAGGAAGAGAATCCGGAGGAAGAGAATCCAGAAAAGGAGACTGAATGGTCAGAGAAGTGTTTTGTCCCAGAAACTGAGAAAGTTTCAAGAAGAAAATGGTTTTCACTGGTATCAGATCCTGCAGAGAGATCCATGAGAAAAAGAGGACTGAGAAAAGACTATTGAATCTGGTGATTTGGAGACGATGACTAATGAATGTACAGTTTAGTAGGGATGGGGACAGAAGTCAGATAGTGAGGGCTTAAGGAGGGTATGGATAGGTAATAATAATAGTGATGATTATAATAACATTTATGTAGTGCTTTAAGGTTTGCAAAGCACTTTATCTCATTTTATCTTCACAACAACCCTGAGAGGTAGGTGCTGTTGTCATCCCCATTTTACAGATGAGGAAATGAGACATGAAGAGGTTAAGTGACTTGGGTCACACAGCTAGTAAGTGTCTTAGGCAAGATTTGAATTTGGGTCTTCCTGACTCCAGGTACAGCCTCTATCCACTGCACCACAGTTTTATGCTATTTAAAGGGTAAGGCAAAATGTTCTTCAAGATAGGAGAGATCTCAGTATATGTGAAACCAAAGAAAAAATCAGTAGAAGAAGATGTTGAAGATACTTGAAAGGGAAGAAATATAGGTGAAAGCAAGATCACTAAGAAATCATGATTCCCACATGATATCTAAGACAGGGGACAGCCTTGAAAAGAAGGGGCAATTCTTCCTCAAAAACTGGAAAAGAGATTTAGCGTTGCACACACACACACACACACACACACACACACGTATAAGTGAAGAGCTAGTAGATGAGTTATCTTAAGCTTGATAGGAACACTTAATTCATGCATATTTCCATTGAGCAGTTTCATATTATTTTAAATACCTTGATGATTTATAATACTAAGATACATTTCTAAAAAAATAGTCAATTCATGTAGTTCAAGTAATAATAATTGTTTTTAATAATGGTTCAGAGTATTAAAATGGGGAAAAATATGAATTTAGAATGCATGTTTGTAATTTTGTTCTTATTGTAAAGCTATTGAGTCCTAATTCAGAGAATATATCAAATAAATTGAATTGTGAAACATTTTAGCTTTAATAGAATCTTCACTTAAAGTAATATAATACAGGGAATGAACTTATTCATAGAGTGGTAATGAGACCAGAACTCTTGAGTTCTGCATTTTAAGATTTGTTATCATCGACCGATTGATATATGTAGGCAGTGGCGTTCATACCTGTAGACCAACACTGTTCAGCTTGGCTATATTGAAACTTACTTTTCCCCACCTGGTACATAGCAAGTATTTTCATTCAGGATTAAAGACGGTCCTTGTTAGCAGCTTAAAGTGAGAAGCAGGAACCACAGGCCACCTGCCTGGTATCTCTGCTCGCCACACAACAGGAAAGTACTTTGGGCTGGTCACAGCAGCTCTGTCCTGATGAGAAGACCATTGACAGAGGGAGAGATAGACTTGGAGAGGAGGGGAAAGGGAGTAGCCAAAGTGCTCTTCACCGGCCAGCACTAGCTTGGGGGGAGAACAGTGAAGGGCAAACAACCAAGGACAAACTGAGTAAGAGAAAGTAAAACTGCAGAGCAACAACAAACCTGGAAAAAAAGTGCAGAGAAGGAAAAGGCAAGTAATAAGGTTGAATTCAGGAAAGAAAAACTACTAAGTGCAGTGTGGGCAGAGTGGGTCTTGAGGAACCAAAATGTTGGCGTAAATGGGTATTATTGGGGAAATTGGGACATTTCAAAAAATTAAGTTGAAAACTCAATATAAAAGAGGAAAACATATAATCTTTAAGCCTAAGGAGAATTAAATAAATATTGTGCTATTTTATTTTGCATTTGTTGTAATCATTTTTGCTCCATTAAAATCTTGCTCTGTTGCCTCATCATGACATGAAGGAAGGTTGCTCTGTATTCTTGAAACCTTGCCAGTAGAGTGCAGGCTCAGGCAGGTCTTCCCAGGCAGGAAAAGCTCCAAATACCAGCTCAGCTACAGACTGTATCTCTGTCATCTGAGAACTAGCCTTGCTAAGTGTGGAGGAACCAATAAGCATGAAGGTTGGCCACCATATGATGATTTAATGGGCCACAGCAACTCATGAGACTGTGAGCTAAGGGGTAGAGAGGCTGCAGTCTGCATTGGTGGAGGAAGTAGCACCACCAATAAAATCTCAGATCTTAATATATTATTTGTTAAAGTATATTTTTTACATTGAAAAAACATTTGCAAAAAATATAAATTTTTCAGAGTTTAATTTTTGTCACTGAAAATCTAGTGCTACAAATGTTTGCTTCTTGGTCCTGAAGGTTGACTGATGAAAATAGATAAAATAAAAATTACTGCTTTTTCTTTAAGCAAATAGAAAACGTTGCTTCGTTGGTGCTTGGAAAATCTGTCTTTGTTAATTGGCCTCACCTTGAAGAAGCTAGGGTTGTAGCAGTATCGGATGGAGAAACTAAGTAAGTAAAATGTAATAAAAACTAATTTCCTTAATTGTGTTTCCCCTGCCTTGTTTTCCATTCATCTATCTTTCCCTTAGAGGTCAGTATTTTCTTCTCTACTAATATTTTTCTCTAAATCCAAATGTTCTGCAGTGGATACAACTTTACAAAGGTATTAGTTAATAGAATGAAGTGCTTATTTAAACCTGTTTGAATGGGGGGAGACTCTGAAGTTTGATGCAAGAAGCAAAAGCTGATTCAGAAGTATCATTTCGATGTCAGCATTATAGAGCTTTCTAAAGTGACACAATTCCATATTGTATGTACATTTTTTAGAAAAGCATTTTTCCTTTTTTGTCATTCGCAACACCAGCAAACACAAATACAACTGTACCCAAAGAATAGAAAAAAAGGATTTCACGTGAAACAGCAAATCTCCACCGTGTACATCTTGCCCTAATAAATTCAACATGTTAGTTAGGAAAACACATTTTGAAGAGATCGTGTGTGTCGAATGATGGCAAAGTATTGTTTTTTGCAGACCCCAAAACCTTTTTTTAAAAAGGGAATTATTGTACATATATAGAATAACTAAAATTGAACAATAATAATAATAATTACTAGCATTTAAGCAGCATTCTAAGGTTTGCAAAGCACTTTACATCTGTTATCTCATTTGGTCTTCAGAACATCCCTGTGAGCCACAGTAGATGCTGTTATTATTTTACAAATGAAAATAAGAGGAGCAGTTCAGTAATTTTCCCAGGGTCACATAGCTAATTAGGGGACAGAGTTAGGATTTTAATTCAGGTCTTCCTGACTCCAAGTCCAGCTCACTATCTACTCTACTAGTAATCTAGTTGCCTTGAATCCTCAAGGGAAGAAGACAGGTAGACCACAGTCAACTAATAAGCATTAAGTGCTTACTAAAAATTTCATGAAATACCATTAGTATTTAGGGTTCTTGTTCAGGTCTGGATCTTCCCTTTGTTCCTATGTTGCCTCTCAATCAACTCAACACACTAAAATCTATTGAGGGTGAGGAATTCCAAAGGCTTGTGCTTTAGGGTTGCAAATAAGAGTATCCATGTTTTGAAGAGAAAATGCACTATGTGGATGGGAAATCCTGCCCAAGTTCAGTTACTATGATTCTTTTAAACACATGAATAAGAAAGACATCTTACAATTTTAAAATCAGTGCACTTTATATTTAATATTTTCTCAGATGTTCTGAAGGGTATAATAAATAGCTCTCCAACCAATTTCCTGATGGCAGTGACTTGGCCTGATTGTCTTCCACCCATTCCCCCTTACTCTCCATTCCCATGAGTATTAGGAGACCTTGATTCTGCCTGGCCACACAAAGGAAAGGGGGGAGAGGGGGGGAGGAAGATACAGAGCTGTGACGAGAAGGGAAAAGGAATCATCTTCTCCAAGTTTACTCAGTGGAGGAAGTAACCAAGTCATTGACAAGGAAGTGAAAGGAGAAGAGGCAAAGAATGCAGAAGAATGACTGAAATGCCAAAAGATCAAAGGGAAAACCTAGATACAACACCATTTGAGAAACTCATATAAAAACTGAAGGAAGAGTAAATAAAAATTCAGACACTGAAAAAAGAAAATTCAGAATTTTCTGATCTAGAATAGAATTTTGGGGACTTCCCCCAATGATCATGTAACAGCAGGAAGAAAGTTCAAAATTATTCACAAGAGAAATAAAACTTTTTTTTTTTAAATTAGTAATGAAATTAGGTTGGAAATCAAAGCTTTCAATGCACAATTGAAAAAAATCAACAACAGAATATAGATCATAGTAGACACTCCAAAGAAGACTCAGAAAGAGAAAATTATGTATTCAGAACACAAGTATATTTAAGTGGGAGAAAATTTTACAGAGCAGCTAAAGGCAACAACATTAAAAGAATATATTGATTCTTTATGAGAAAAAGCAACTCACCTTGACAGGATATACAGAAGGAACTTAAGAATCATCAGACTACTGGAAGAACATGACCAGCTAAAAAATCTAGATATCTTACTGTAAGAAACAGAAAGGCAAATTTTAAGAAAATTGGAGAAGAGAGAGGTCTGTGCTCTCATCACATCTCCTTTGACTAGATTATCATAAAGAAGTCATTCTGCCTACTGTCTTCTCTGGTGGACGGCCCTTGAGAATAATGGATATTTAATTTTTATCTTTTTGTTCCTGGTGCCTAATATGTGCTTAATACATGCTTGTTGATTGAAAGACAGATGAAGTTAGCTTCAAAAAAGGAAATTCTGCCTATTAATTCACAGATGATCCAAGTGAGAGGGAATAGAAGAGTGACTCCTGACGAAACTAATATGGCTACACTGGCCACTCTTGGATGGGTTTAAATTCTACATAATTGGTTAAATATTTGCCTTTTTTTAAAGGAATCTTTGTCTTGGTGTAAGTAAAATTTTCACTATTTTTCCTTTAAATTGAGCTTTCAGTCAGTGCATCAAATTAGGTCACCTTACCCCTAGGTCTTATTTATCTTTCACCTCAAGGACATGTCTCCTTCTTATGAGAACTGTTTATATATACTTTATAGAGTTTGAGAAAGTGTTAAACGTGAATTTGGCTAATTTTTTTTAAGGTTTCTCTCATTCATATAGTTTAGTAGAATCATAATGGAGTGGAGCAGGGCTTCCCAGGTAAATAAAAAGTGTGTTGTTCTCTTCACATCATATAGTCTTACTGGCATCTGGAGCAGTGGAGTTAACTTACCTTATGGGTTCCACATTAAACTAGTTTTTTCATATCCGTTCCATTGCTTTGATTTTGAAGGTTTTACTTGGAAGAAACTCAAGGAACTCAGAAGCTTTACTTGGGAAAAATTGCCCCACCAACGAAAGTGGTTTATGTTGGCGGTAAAGAACAGTCTAACTGGGTGAAAGAAGTACAAGCAATTTCAGAACAGTAAGTGTTATGAAATTTATATTTTGATACTACAGAACTAAAACATGACCATTCTTTCACCAGTTTCACCAATTTATTCATTAATAGTTATGCTGAATACTGAACAATTAGGCATATTATTTGCTCAGAAAAAGAATAAAGAATTATCTGGACTAAATGTAATTATGAATGAGCTACTATTGGTGATTATATATTATTCATTTTTCCTAAAGTGCCACACTTGGAAAAAAACTTGGTTTCTAACGTTTTTAGATCATTTATCAACTACTTATAGTAACTACTCAAAATACACTAATGTTTCTAAAATTGGCACACTATAAATTAAGAGAAGCCATTTTCCTGTACCTATTTTTCTAGTCTGATAGCCACCATTTCTCTTGGATTTAGTTTTGTTTTTACCTGAAGTCTTGTCCCTTTAGTGTTGTCTCCATTGAAAGATTTTTAGAAGTTTGAATCAGCATATTTCCGTATGTGCAGTATGAATGTTTCTTAAACATTTTGGGTATGTGATTAATGTAGCTTGTAGGTAACACCCCCACCTCCTACCCCAGTTTGGGCCCCCAGTTAACTGCTCCAGGTTCTAAATATTTTGTGGATCAGAACCCTCTCCAAACCATAGCTCATAAGCATCCAGTGATGTTTTATGTTTTACCAGTCATTCTCCAGAAACTATATGCACACTTAGCAAATGGAATTATATGTGGGGTATCCACTTGAGGGGATGCTGTCACCAAAGTATCCACATCGAGGGGCAGCTCACATCTTGAACGCTGCAAAGCCCCCACTGATTCTTACTGATATCATTGTGCTCTTCTCTGCTGGAGGTTGTTGCTCTCCATTGCTTTCTGCCCTTCCCTTCCTGGTGCTGCCTTCCATTGTTCTAATGATCATGATCTTTAGCTCTTTCAGGCCCCAGTATCCTCAGGCAGCATCTTCTGGCAGTGCTTAGGTTACAGCTCTTTAACCACCTCAACCACCCTCATCCTGCACTTCATGAACCTCTTCCTACAGAGAAGACCACAGCTTTTTCAGTCTGTTCCCAGAGTTTTCTTTTAGAGCCTCTCCTCTGTGCTGTGATTATTTGACCTTCTGGAAAAGTGACAGTTCTCAGTCAGCAGCTCTTCAGCCAATAGCTATGGAGCTCTCTTAACCAATGGCTAGAAAGCTCTTTTGCTCAGCAAAGTTGCACCAAAGCTATTGAGGCCTCAACTAAGATCAGATCTGCCCTTTGAACTCTTCTTAGAACTCTTCCGTTAACTGATTTTCTTCTTCTGAACTCTTCTTTGAGCTGAACTCCTTTTAACTGCCTTGTCCTCTACAGTCTTACTTGAGTTTCTCACTTCAGCTGTTACCTAACCTATGGCCAGAAATTCATTTTAGTTTTTAAGACTTATTTGAAACCCCTGGCTTAGGTGAATCTCTCCAGTGCTTCACTTCCTCAAATGGAGAAAGGATTGAGAGATATTGTGGTAAGAAAACTGTTTTAAACTTACTCCAGCAGCCACTCTGTTCTATGCAGATAGCAATAGCTTATGCTGGCTAGAGAATTCTGAAAGGCCCTTGACCTTTGTCACTTCCCCCAGCAACTTGTGATAGTCTGGTCTTTTTCTCTTATCTCCCTGCACTAAAATTAATTTTTCTGGTCTCTGGCATATTGACTCTTTCATTTCTACTTAGAAGCATGCTCAGATCTGCACCATTCTTTAAAAAAACCTTCACAAAACCTAGCCATCCCCTCAAGCAGTCATCCTATTTTTCCTTTTCCATTTCATAGCCAAACTCCTAGGGAAAAAAATTTTATATTCACCTTTACTTCCTTACCTTCCACTCAATTCTGATCCCCACATAGCTTGACTTCTTTACTGTACCACTCTACTGAAAGTGTAATCTCCAAAGGTAACAACAGTCTTTTACCTGCTAGATCCAGTGGTTTTTTCTTCCTTAAACTCTTAGTAATTTTTTAATACTATCAATTACCTTTTCCTGTTAGATACTTTTATTTGCATTGACTTCTGTGATATTGTTCACTTCTGGCTCTCCTCCTGACCTTTCTTTCTGTTGCCTTTGTAGAATCATCATCAATCAAACCTTAATTGTGGCTCTCTATCCAGGGTCCTTTTCTAATTTCTCTCCCTAATGATTTCATCCCGTGGATTCAGTTACCTCTGCTTAAATAATTACAAGATTTATATATCCAATCCTGACCTACTGATATCCATTCCTTTATTGCCAACTTCCTACTAGATAATCTTTATCTGCATTCCTCATTTCATACTTACCATGTCCATCTGTTATCCAAGCTTTACTTTTTCTCTTGAGGGAGTCACCGTCCTTTCAGTTCCCTAAATTCTCATCTTCAAAGTCATCTTTCACTTTTCACTTTCCTTCATCTCCAGTCCAGTTGGTTTCCAAGTTTTGATTCTACTCTCACAGCAGTGCCACTATCCTAATTTAGTCTGTAACCTCTTTTCCTCCCAATAATTCTCCATGCTTTAATCCTCTGTCTTTTCTAGCCTGTTCTCAGTACAGCCACCAAAATAATCTTCAAGGCATAAGTCTGTCTGACTGTCCTTCAGAAATGTTCAGTGGCTCTCTATTGTCTCTCCGAAGTCTGGCTCTTACTCAGCTTTTCAGATTTATCTCATATACCTTCTTTTTATACACTTTGAATTCCAGCCAAAATTAAATACTTGCTGTTCCCTGAATTTTGTATTCAATCTCTTATCTCCATGCCTTCACATAACCTTGTACCCTCTTCCCCAAAGTATATTCTCTTCTCTCACCTGTACTTCTTAGAATTCTTCAAAGCTTTCTGCTCAGAGGTTACCTCCTATGTTGAATCTTTCCTTTTCTCCCAGTTGTTAATGTTCTTTCCCTTTTCAAATTACCGTACATTCGCTTATCTGTATACATATTACGTGTTCCCAGGAAAGTCTTTGAGGATAGGGGTGTTTCATTTTTGCCTGTATATTCCCAATTCCTACTACATGCTTTGACCATAGTAGACACATAGATACAAAGTGTTTGTTGCTTTACATCAAGTAGAACGGGTCATCAAGACACAGAAGAAGAGATTATATTTTCAAATGCCTAGTATTTTTGTAAATCCATGTATCTGCATTAGAATTATTGGTCTTGATTTTTTTTTTCCTTCTTTCAGGTACAATTTAAATTTTGTATTAGACAGTATCAAAATATATTATCAAGTATTATGCTTCTGGAAATTGTTTTTTATAAAATGAGTCAATGTATAAATTAAGTATTGGGTAAATTTAGATCTGTAATTTGTAGTATATTTTTTAAAATATAAAATATGTTCAAATTAAATGTTACACAGTTTTAAAAGCATAGTAGCTATAAGTAATTTTTTAAACTAGTACTAGTTTTATTCTGCTGCTGCCTTAACAGAATAATTATATCTTAACAGAATCTTACCTTAACGGAATATTTATCGTATCAGCTATCTTAACAGAATAATTATAAGAAAAAATATATAAATTTATTTTAGTTTTTTCTTTTACCTGTAAGAATTCTGTGTAATTCCTATTTATTCTCATAATGTGTCATGCATCCTTCTGAGTAGGATCAGGTAACAGCAGAAAAACATCAACAGTACCTAAAACATGAAACATATATCCAGAGTTATTCACATATTTCTTTGAAGGTTTTCTGGGCATTTAAATATTAATCCAGTTAAAACAGTTTTGGTCAGGGACTGGGTTCTACTCCCGAATTATTTACATATATAAGTTTCTCCCTTGTATTCCCCCTTTTAGCTACCAGAGAAGAAAAGGAGTAATAATAAATGAAACTTCTGTTGTTGTGTATGCTCAGTTACTTACCGGTCATAAATATCAATTAAATCAAAATGGTGAGGTTCATCTGGAGAAACAGTGGTCAAAACAAGTTCTTCCTTTTGTATATCAAACTGTTGTCAAGGTAAGGCCCCTTATAGGCTTCAATCTGTTCTTGATGCCTAGTATTGCACACTACATAAAGAAAAAGATAAATCTTGTTACCTTTTATGAGGTATTGAAATGGAAAAATAACTTCATGATTTATAATTATGAATGTGACATTTCCTGAATTGCTGACATTCTAGATAGGCTGGTAAAACAGAATTTAGCCTATGGTAGCCAGATTTCTCCAAAATGTAAAACACTATCTGCAGCCATACATTTACTTTTTTTTTTTTTAGGGTTTGAGTACTGTTAATGTATTTTCCTCCCCCAAATAAATAAGCCTAAATAAATTAATAAACATAAAATTACCTTTTTTAGCAGTAACTTTAAGGTATAGTTACTCTCTGAATATTCAGTAATGGACTTTAAAAGACACATGATGCCTCTTTTCTTTTACAGTATCTGATTATATTATTCATAGAAAAATAATCATGGGTAAAATTTTCTTTCCATACAGTTACAAACCCACAACAGAAATCTAAAATTCTTTAGAAAATTTCACTCATACTGATTTTTTATATTTTTGTTTTTAGGATATCAGTGCTTTTGAGACACATTTCTCTAACATCAAAACATTGGATGACCTATTTCCACCTAGAAGTACAGTCTTTATGCTGGGGACTCCTTACTATGGCTGCACAGGCGAAGTTAGTTCCAGTTATTGATTACTATTTCCATTCTCTTTTCATGTTTTTAAAATTATGTGGCTTATATTTTAATTTAGGTGAAAAGTAAAATGTAAAAGATCTTTAACAAACTTTTATTTTTTCCCCCAAAGGTTCAGGATTCAGGGGATGTAATCACAGAAGGTAGAATTCGTGTGGTTTTCAACATTCCATGTGAACCTCATCTTGATGCCTTAATACAGAACCAGCATGTGAGTGCAGTCATTCACCTTGTCTAAACAAATACTCTTTCAGTTAGTTCATGAGATGTTAAAGTAGCAAATGGCCTTCAGGGATGTTAAAGGTAGTTAAATTGTTTTTATGTAACTTTCTCTGACAAATGAACTATTCTGTGTAATAACATATATCTTTTATATTAGAAATATAAAAATATTTCCACCTCATGACTTTGGTTCCTGATGATTGAGATTTCTGATGCCTAAAACTAATTCAGTTTTAAAAAGAAGATACAGTACTTGTTTAGTACTTACGTTTCAGAAGCCCATGCAAACCTTCAGTGAAGATTATTAGTTCAGACTTGTGCAGAGTTGTCATAACTAACAAATTCTCCAGGAAAAAGTTGGCTGAGTTCAAAGATCAAACTTAATAAATCATGCAAAGCATAGTTGCCTCCATTTTAAACCTTATAGGATAAAAAAAATTTTTTTTTCCTCAGTAGAGCTGCTGCCAAATTGAAGATAAACAAGGCTAACTGTGGACAAAATTTTATGCTATGAAGTTTCTTCTTCCTTAACACCCCTTTTGTGGACCCTTCTTCCAATAGGATTAAATGTTCTTCTAATCTCTCCCTCCTTTCTTCCTTCTGGACTTTTACTGAGTCCTTGTCATAGGAAGGTGTTCACTGATAAACAGATGGCTCCATGATAACAGTCCCTATTATCATCTATTCCCTCACTCTCCCTCAAATTTAATGCTTTGACAACTTGTCTGGGTTGGGCATCATTGCATGAGGTCACAATCTGACTTCCCTTTTCCTGATTATGGTGGCCATGATCTTATTTTCTCTATCAGCAATCCTGGTGGTTGCATCAGATAGTATGGCTATTATCCATCGTTGATACCATTCCCTTCTCTGTCTGAACAGAGCCTCATCCTCTCTTCTACTTCCTCTAAGCTGCTTCTCCCTTCCTTTACTCTGAGACTCACAAATGTATCTTTTATTTTATAGGACATTTGTCATTATTTTAGTGAGTGTTTATCATAATGAAATCTCCATATCCCTTGGAACAAATCTCTGTGTTCCTGTTTATTGCTACCTCTGATAATGAAGTTTCTGATAAAGCGTGTTAATTTTCATCAGAGGTGCCCATTCTGAACGCCAGTTTCCTAATCTATAAAATGGGGACAGTAATACTTGCACTTCCTTCCTCACAGAGTTATGATAAAAGCTCTTTGCAAACTGCAGCATGATATCAAATTATTATTGTTGTTATCATTGATGTCAGGGACTAAGTTCTATTTGTAACAGAGCTGGCTGATGCGATTTTTTGCCTAGTGAAGAAATGTATAAGACTGGTGGTGTTTTATTTTTGGCCAAACTGTCTGCATTGTATCTTCCCTTGTATAAATAAGATTTAATTCCATTTCCTTATACATATAGATCTAGATATATAGAGAGAGGGAGAGAGAGAGAGAGAGAGATTTTCATGTTTTCTTTTAATTCTTGGGAATACAGTCTTTAATAAGAGGTAAAAACAAAAAATCTCCATGCAAGTTTTTTTCTAAATAGGTCAGCTGCATTTAAGAATACCTACATTCATGTAGCTCAAGGGTATAGTGATAGATTTACCCCCTTTGAAATAAGTTTAGAGATTAAAGGAGAAGGAAAAAATATACAGCACTTATATGTTTCTGCCCTGAACTATAATGATTTTTTTTATTTTTATATTTAAAGAAATATTCTATAAAATACAATCCTGGATATGTTTTGGCCAGTCGTCTTGGAGTGAGTGGATACCTTGTTTCAAGGTTTACAGGAAGTATTTTTATTGGAAGAGGATCTAGGAAAAAGTAAGTTTTTAGAAAAATAATTAATATTATAAGATGGAAAGAAAATGAAATATTTAATGTTTCAATACTGATTTAAAATATAATTTTTCTTAATTCAGCCTTTTACATAAATTCTTCTGATTTTTCATCCAATTCAACTTTTATGAATGCCTTGTCCAAAAAAGATAATTCTTAACTAGAATAGATAACTAATTGAACCTTGAAAAAAGGTATCAGAGTGTTTGTAAGTCCTAAAAATGTTATTTGAAAGGTGGAGCCCAGATGAAGGAGTAGCAGGAAGAGTTCCAGTTGAGTACAGTCAAGCTACACACACACACACACAACACACACACACACACACACACACACACACACACACGGAAAATGCAGCAGACTGAGTCCCGATTAGAAAATCCAAGGGAAAAAAAATCACAGTGAATCATTTTTTCCATCTCAGGTTGGCAGTGGGAGATAGGGAGCTCAATGGACACTGGGACAGAACTAGGGGTGGGAAATGGGATGAGATGAGTGCTTGGCCAAGAACAAGGACACAGCATTCCAGCCAAGGAGAGGCTGTGCGTAAGAGCAAGAAGAGGTCCTGGATCCCGGCACAAGGGGTAAGGTGAGCCTTATCTTGCACAGGGTGCAGGAACTGGTGCCAACTGGCATCTGTGTCACTCACTACTCAGAACAGATCTAGGGCAGTCTGAGGATAGGACCAGCATCTGGGAGTGGTGTTACATAATGAGGTATGGTCATGTCCCTTAGCTATGTACTAAGCAAGGAGCATGCAGCAGCTGTATGACTTCCCAGGAATGGAACCAGAATCTTTATTTCTAGCCACTAGCCTATTCAAAACTCTGCAGTAGAATAAGCAGGGCAGGAAACCCAGACCAAAGGGGAGGCTACAATTTTGTCACTCTGAAACAATAGAGATTTCCAGCTGGCTGATAGCGGCTGAGTCCAGGAACACTATACTGAAATCTTAGCATAGGTGTGTGTGTTACTCAGAACCAAATGTAGATCATGAGATTGCAGAGCACTTTGGGAACACTGAAAGATTTTGGACACCTAGTCTGACCTCATCTTGAGATCCTGGAATAATATATACTCAATTTTCCCAAGAAAACAACAGCAAGACCCTAGAGGACACAAGCTCAACAGACATTCCCTCCCTAAGTTCACAGATCCTGGTCCTAGTATAAAGTGTGAAATCAAGATGTAGACTGGAAGAATGAGCAAAACAAAAAAAAAAAGAACCTCATCACAAAAAACTGTTATGGTGGCAGAGATACTCAACACAAACCCAGAAGAACAGAATAACTCTAAAACATCTATAAGCAAAGTCTCAAAGAAAAACACAAGTTGGGCACAAGTTTATTTAGAATTCCTAGGAAAAGTAAAGCAAGAGTTTTTAAAAGCATTTAAAATATTATAAATTAAATAAGAGCACTAGAGGAAGAACTGGAAAAGAAATCAGAGCTGTGGAAGAAAAACTGGAAAGAGAATTAACATTTTGACACAAGAGGTAAAAAACTTTACCCAAGTCACAAACCCCCTGAAAATTAGAATGGACTAAGTGGAAACTAATGATTCCATGAGAAAACAAGAAATAACTAAAACAAAGTTTAAAAAAAAACTGGAAAAAAAAAATATAAGGTATCTCATAGCAAAAACAACTGAACTGGTAAACAGATCAAGGAGAAAAAAAAATAATTATTTAGACTACCTGAAAGCTATGAGCAAAAAAAGAGCATTTTATTTCATTATATTTTAACGTTTTCAAGAAATCTTTAAAAAAAAAAAAAACTGCCCAGATCTCTTAGAACTAGGGGGCAGAGATGATCAGAAAGAATCCACTGGTCACTTCTTGAAAAAAAAAAAAATCCAAAATGAACATTATAGCCAAAATCCAAAGCTTCCAGATCAAAGAAAAAAATACTGTAATCAGCCAAAAAGGAAGAATTCAAGTTCCAAGAAACCATTTCAGAATCATAAAGGATTTAGTAGTTATCACTTTAAAGATGTAGAGACCTTGGAATATGATACATTAATTGGGGAGAAAGGAGGGGAAGAATGAGGGAAATTATCTTCCATAATCCAGGTGCACGAGAAGCCTACACAAACAAGAAGGAGAGGGGGTTACAGGAAAGACTGACATTTGAACCTCATTCTTAACCAAAATAGCCGAAGGAGGGAAGAACACATACACACAGACTTGGGTGCAGAAATACGTTTCACTAACTCAACAGCATTTCTACATATTACCAACAAAGTCCAGCAGCCCGAGATAGAAAGAGAAATTCATTTAAAATTACTGTAGACATTATAAAATATTTAGGAGTCTACATACTGAAACAAACCCAGGAATTATATGAACACAATTGCAAAATGCTTTTCACACAAATGAAGTTAGATCTAAATAATTGGAAAAAACATCAGTTTCCCATGGGTAGGCCAAGCTAATATAATAAAAATGACAATTCTACCTAAGCTAATTTACTTATTCAGTGCCATACCAATCAAACTACCAAAAACTTATTTTATAGAGCTAGAAAAAATAATAAGATTCATTTGGAATAACAAAAGGTCAAGAATATCAAGGGAACTAATGAAAAGAGATGCAGGGGAAGGTAGCCTAGCCATTCTAGATCTTAAATTGTATTATAAAGCAGCAGTCATCAAAACTGCTTGGTACTGGCTAAGAAATGGAGTGGTGGATCAGTGGAATAGGTTAGGTGTACAAGACACAGTGGTCAATGACTATAGTAATCTATTATTTGATAAACCCAAAGACCCCACCTTTTGGGATGAGAACTCACTGTTTGACAAAAACTGCTGGGAAAACTAGAAAAGAGTATGGCAGAAACCAGGCATAGACCAAAATCTCACACCATATACCAAAATAAAGTCAAAATGGGTTCATGATTTAGATATAAAGGCTGATACTATAAGCAAACTGGGAGAGCAAGAAATAGTTTACCTATCAGATTTATGGAGAACAGAAGAATTCATGAACAAACAGGAGATAGAGAACATTATGAAATGCAAAATGGATAACTTTGATTACATTAAATTGAAAAGTTTTTGCACAAACAAAGCCAATGCAACCAAGATTAGAAGGAAAGTAGAAAATTGGGAAAGAATTTTTACAACCAGCCTTTCTGATAAGGGCCTCATTTCTAAAATATATAGAGAATTAAGTCAAATTTATAAGAATACAAGTCATTCCCCAATTGATAAATGGTCAAAGGATATGAACAGGCAGTTCTCAGGTGAAGAAATTAAAGCCATCTCTAGTCATATGAAAAAATGCTCTAAATCACTATTGATTAGAGAAATGCAAATCAAAACAACTCTGAGGTACCACATCACACCTATCAGATTGGCCAACATGACAAAACAGGAAAATGATAAATGTTGGAGAAGATGTGGGAAAATTGGAACACTAATGCATTGTTGGTGGAGTTGTGAACTGATCCACCCATTTTGGAGAGCAATTTGGAACTATGCCCAAAGTGCTATAAAAATGTGCATACCCTTTAACTCAGCACTTCTAGGGCTGTATCCCAAAGAGATCATACAAATGGGAAAAGGACCCACATGTACAAAAATATTTATAGCAGCTCTTTTTGTGGTGGCAAAGAATTGGAAATTGAGAGGATGCCCATCACTTAGGGAGTGGCTGACCAAGTTGTGGTATATGAATGTAATGGAATACTATTGTGCTATAAGAAATGATGAGCAAGCAGACTTCAGAGAAACCTGGAAAGATTTGCATGGTCTGATGCTGAGTGAAGTGAGCAGAACCAAGAGAACGTTGTACACAGTAACAGCCATTTTGTGAAAAGACTAATATTAATAGACTTAACCCTTCTCAGCAAAACAAGGATCTAAGACATTTCCAAAGGTTTCATGATGTAAAATGCTATCCGCATCCAAAGAAAGAACTATGGAGTTTGAATGAAGATCGAAGCATACTATTTGTTATTTTTTTTTCTTCTATTGTGTTTTGTTTCCTCTTTCTGGTGGTTCCTCCTATTGGTTCTAATTCTTACTTACAATATGACTGATGTGAAAATATGTTTAATAGGAATGTATATGTATAGCCTGTATCAGATTGTGTGCCATCTTGGGGAGGGAGGTGAGAAGGGAGGGGGAGAAAAATTTAAATCTCAAAAGCTTATGGAAGTGATTGTCGATAAGTCAAAATAAATTAATAAAAAAGGAAAAAAAGAAAAGAAAAAAGAAAAAAAAGAAATACATTTCACTCTAGGGAAACAGAAAGGAAAAGGAAATGGGAAGGTAAGGAGAGTGATTAGTCCTAAGTAAAACCTTAATTAAGGCTATATGAAAATATTTATAGCAGCTCTTTTTGTAGTGACAAAGAATTGGAATAATGGGTACTTATCAATTGCCTATGAAAAAGAACAAGTTATGGTATATAAATATGATGGAATACTGTTATGCTGTAAGAAAATATGACGGATTTTTCAAAGAAACCTGGGAAGACTTGTATGAACTAGTACAGAGCTAAGTGAGCAGAACCAGTAGAACAAAGTATACAATAACAACAGTGTTGCAGTTTGAAAGACTTTAGAAACTGATCAGCACAATGACCTACCAAGATTCCAGAGAACTTAAACAGTGAAACATCCTACCCACCTCTTAATAGAGAGGTGATGAATTCAGAGTGCAAAGTGAGATTTTTTTTTTTTTTGGACGTGGCCAATTTGGGGATATTTTGTCTGATTGTACATGTTCATAACAGGTTTTTTTGGGAGGTGGGGAGGTTGAAGAGAAGGTAGATTTTTGTTGAATGAAAAAATAAAATTAAATTTTTTTAATATAATTCAATTCCCTGCCTCTTGTTGAATTTTTTTTACCCCTTTAATGAAGTATATGATTTGTCTGTGCTTTACTTGGTTCAGCTTTTGGAGTTTTTCTTCTACTTTGAGCTGTTATTTGCTACAATAAATAACATAGAATCAAAGCCAAACTTTTTCTGAGATTGGGAAACAATTTTGATTTGTTACCTCATCAAAATTAATAAGCCATTTTTGTTTGTTTTTAAACAGTCCCCATGGAGACCACAAAGCCAATGTGGGATTGAACCTGAAGTTCAATAAGAAGAATGAAGAGGTTCCAGGCTACACCAAAAAAGTCGGCAGTGAATGGATGTATTCTTGTGCTGTGGAGCAGCTCCTGGCAGAGTACCTTGAGAGGTAGTGTCTCATGAGATTCTTCCTCATATTCTTCCCCACAACCATAGGATTTAGTGGCATTAATTCATTTTGTCAAACTGATTTCAGTTCTTTGGTTTTAAATGAAATACAAGCATTTAAAACATAACTTGATTTTCCTTAACCACCATCACAGGTGGCTACATCATTCAATATGGCAAAATAGAAAGAATGGTGATCATAGTTAATGTTAAAGAAAAAATAATAAGAAATAAAGTACTTTAAATTGCAGAGCTATAGCTTCCATGACAACATGAAAGTTATACTATTCTTGATGGTAAGAGTTTCCAAGCCAGAACTTTGCTTCAGCCAGATATAAATCTTGTGCAAAAAAATCAGGATGTAGAATTTAGTTGTAATCTTCAAAAAAAAAAAATCTTGTCATATTTTTTACAATGATTTTTTTCAGTCTTATATCTGAATTATCCTTATTTTTATAAATAATAGTTGTTCTCTAGTCTTCTAGGACCTTAAAGGATTATAAAATTTTAATACTGGAAAGAACTTTAAAATGTCCAAAAAATGAGAAAACTGAAGCCAAAAAGATACGAGTTATACAGAGTTATATATTTAGTTAGTTGAAGAGACCCAAATCTCCCAGTTAACTGTTCTTTCTACCATACTAATGCTATGTATATCACCTCATATGTGATGTGGTAGACTGTTGGACTTGGAGTCTCGGGTTCAAATCTAGAACTTAGTAGCTTTGAGACTTTGGGTATGTCACCTAGCCCTTCTGAGCCTCAATTTCCTTATCTATAAATTGAATCTAATAGTATCTGTAGTACTTACTCAAGAGCTTATGAGGATTAAATGAGATAATATACACTGTTTTTCAAATAAACATCAACTAAATAAATATCAACTGTTAGTTTTATTATGTATTTTATGAACACAGTTCATTTACTTGTGTTGACAAGTGTTTTAATATTTTCAAATATCTGAGAAATTGTAAAGTGGACACCTATTTACTAAAATCAGCGTGTGAATTTTCATATGAGATTTTAAAGTTTTCATTCCCTGACAATTTAAATTTTACTGATAAACTAAATGATTTAATCATTCCAGAACATTGCACACAAATAGTCTCATAATAAATATTGATAATTGATTTTTTTTTTGCATTTTGTAACCATTTGAGAGGATGAAGGAATAGGATGAGGACGCTTACTTCTGTAGTTTTCTGAGTTTGCAATAAACTAAAAATTTATCTCACATGTTAGAAATGTTTTCCCCATATAAATAGTATTTTTAGAACATATTATTTTCAGCAACTAACTTTCAAAGTAAACTTTTCAAGTTTTCAAGTACCATGGGATTTTAAATTTTTTTACAAAAATTTTAAATATATATGTGTATATATTTGTTTCACTGGGATACCAAATTTCATATTTATTATTTTCTTTCATTCTTATATATCCAATCGTATAAATTTATTTCTGGAAAGGTAAATTGTAAATTTTCTGTTAGTAGTAAGTATAAATTAGACTAGGATTTAAACATGTATGAGTGGATCCTGGAGAAAGTTAATGTCATAACTATCACTGTAAGAGTTATCGTTGAGATCTCTCAACTTCGTTTTAAAATCTTATTTTCTCCCATTTATTCACACTTGTACACATGTACAAATCATTATTATAATTAAAGAATGCTAAATATCGCAAGTTCTTTGAGCTTTATCAGCCTTACTCTTTGACCAGCCTACCTGTAGAGGTTTTTCTGAACAAATGTTTACAATGTTCTGGCTTTCAAGTCTTTTAAACCTCTTTATAAATTCCCTAGCTATAGCAAGCAGTCATCTATGGCACTTGGAAACAAATTGTTGGAGAGGAACACTGTAATTAAAATGCATTTTGTTATTGTTGGTAGGGTACCAGAACTCTTTAGTTACTTAGCTAAGAACAGCCAAGAAGACGTGTTCTATGAAGATGACATTTGGCCTGGTGAAAATGAGAATGGGTATGTAATTTTTGTGCCATTTTAATGATGTAGTAGTTCAGATCAGTGGTCCCATTTATTGACAAGACTAATTATAAAATCTCCTTCATTTTTCAAGTAAAATAAATTATGTTTTAATTATAATGCTAATGGGATCTTTTTCATGTAATATGTTCAGTGAATGTTTTTAAGATATGATTTCTGTTATGTTGATTTTGGTTTTAGGACATAACATTTCCAAGTTTGTATTGGATCTGTGTCTCCAGAATAAAATTAAATGATTAACTTTAAGATCATAAATCTGGGGACTGTTGTAATTTGCAATGATATATAATCCCTCAGAATATTTTTATCTCTGGAAGAAAAATAATGAATTTTTTTTAATGTAGTGCTGAGAAAGTTCAAGAAATTATTACGTGGCTAAAGGCGCATCCTGTCAGTGCTTTGTCTCGCTCATCTTGTGATTTACAAATTCTGGATGCAGCTATTGTTGAGAAAATTGAAGAAGAAGTAGAGAAGTGCAAGGTACACGTTTTCAATAAATGGGATTGAGTAAATGACATACAACAGAACTAAAAGACAATTCACAAAATTTTACAAGTGACTTATTTTGTATTACAGCTAAATAAACATGTTTACATGTTGTTACCTAGTAATCCTGGGATTTGGGTAATATTGTAACCTTTCCACAGTGTAGTATAAAGGATTCTAAGACCTTTGATTCATCATTTACAGCAAACATAGGGTCTAGATGTATAATTCAGTTTTCTTTTATGTCTTTAATTTTTAAGAATATATTATAATTACAGTAAGATCAATGTGGCTAGACAGCTCTGAATTATTTGAAAAGCCAAAGGTGATCTTATGCAGTATGAATAGTTATTAGAGAACAAAGTTAAACAAGGCATTGGTTTTAGAATAAATTTTTTAGACATACTAAAACACTGTATGAGAGGTAACATGATACAGAGCTCCCTCCCATGAGTCAAATAGACCTTTTTTCAAATCCTGCCTCTGACATATAATAGCTGCATAACCACGGGTATGACATTGAATCTTTTATTGCATCCAGGCAATTCTTTTAAGACTGTAAGTTAGAGACAAGTATCTGCCTTCTTTCCACATTTGAAATTTCTTACACAAATTAATTCACAGATTTGAATTCCCACTGCACCCCCCAAAAAGTCCATAAATTCTTGATACATTTTTATGGAATCACTTCTAAAATGTTACCTATTTTTACACTTAGAAACTCAATTATTATACTAATTTTGGTCTTATTTTATAGATTACAGTTTATCCTATTCTGTGAATCTTGCAATGGCCTTTGACCAAAATCAATAAAAGTCTTATCCAACCTAGATTATAAGATTGTTAATTTATGTCTTCTTTGTTTTTCATTTTAATCTTGATTAAACAAAAACTAATTAAATTGTCTAAATATGTATTAATCCAGTTATGTCTCAGATGAGAATTTAGTATCCCAAATGAAAAGCATGATGCAGGGGCAGCTAGGTGGTGCAGTGGATAGAGCACCGGCCCTGAAGTCAGGAGGACCTGAGTTCAAATCCGGCCTCAGACCAAACACTTGACACGTACTAGCTGTGTGACCTTGGGCAAGTCACTTAACCCCAATTGCCTCAACAAAAAAAAAAAGAAAAAGAAAAAGAAAAGCATGATGCAGATAATGTTTAGAAACATGCCAAATTTTTGTCAATAATGCCTACATAAGTTCTTCTGTAATAAAGCAGTGGATAGGTAAAAATGTAAGAGTGACTATACTAGAAATGCAGATTTCTTGGCTTTAATCAAATACTCAACAAGTATTCATTGAACTTCTACTATGTGCACATAATGTTATTATAAATTTGTGTATATGCTGGCTCCCCCATTAGAATATAAGCTCCTTGAGGGCAGGGATTGTTTCTGATTTTTCTTTGTATTACTAGTACTTACTAGTACATCACCTGACACATAGTGCACTTAAATGCTTGTTGATTGATATCCAAAAGGATCTAAAGTGATACAGTCAAAATCATGTTATCATCTGGTGTCACCTCATTATTTTATATTTGTTACTTCTTAAATAATTTTATAATTATTTTTACATAAGTATGCTACAAAGTTTCCACTGTATTATGGATTTAAAATGCATTTCTTAGATAAGTATACACTTAGTCTGAATAAATATAAAGGGGATATATACATATATATATATATATAAAAGGCAAAGAATTTGATAATATGTAACCTAAGCTCCATTTCAACCCTTCAGTAACCTAAAATCCTGTTTTGCATTTTATCCATTTATCTCAGTGTCTGCTAAGTATAATATGTACTTCATTGTAGTCTTATGTAAGTTTGGTTATTTTCTTTATGCATTCATCATCAAAGAATATTTGCTAAACACCTGTATATATAAGAGAAGTTATAATCTGAGTTGATAGCCATCTTGTCCAAATCAACTTGTTTCAAGGGAATCATAATGAGCAGGTTGCTCATTTTCCAAAAGAGACCTTAATATATGGATAACGGCAAGATCAGACTCTAAGTTTGAAAAGAAATTAAAGTCTTTCCTGTCTCCAGCCACTTGAATGATAACAGAGCAGCAAGTTGCAAGATGGTGACACTTGCAGATTCAAGAAATCTTTGCTTTTTTGTAGAATTTTTGGAGAAAAACACTCCTCATTGTTTTCTGACTCAACTCCCAAAATGTATGTTGTTTTATTTTGATGAAACTAATATAATATTCTTCTTCTAACATCCAGTTACAACATTTTCTTTGATAATGCTATGCTGTGTTAATAACTGTTGGCCACTTCAGTACAGAGATGTGGGGACATGACTAAAAACTCCATTTTAATCATGGGAAAACAGCATGAACAGTGGCAAAGATGGGAAAAGGCAGCATAAGAACAGGAATTGGAAAATGCTCTAATTTAGCTGAAGTATAGAATAATGTAGAGCAGTAATACATAAGACTCAGCAGGCAGGCTGAATGCCAGAATCAGTTTATACTTTCTCCGTTAAGCTGTGTGGAGAAATTAGAGTGCTTTGAGGAGAAGAGTGATGTGATAATAGTGGTCCATCAGGAAGATTGGCTGCACAGCAGTGTGGAGGAGCTGGAGACAGGTGGAACAGCCAGGAAGCCATTAAAGCAGGCTACCAGAAGCTATCAGAAGAAGAGACAAGGGCCTTAAACTAGTAGGATGGTTAGAAGGGATTAAAGAGGCCAGGAAAAAAGAGGCCTTTCAGAGGTAGAAACAGTTAGGATTTGGTACCTGACCAGATGTGTGAGGTGAGGGAAAGGAAAAAACCAAAAGTGAAGATACTCAGCAAGCATTTGTTAGATCTTTAATGTGTGTCATGTACTCTGCCAGGCTCTGGGGAAACAAGGACTCAATAAGGGTTCTTGTCCCCAAGAAGCATATATTCTATGGGACATAAAGGTTCACATTAAAATAATGAGAAGGTGGTATTACATAGGAAAGTTGGAAAAGGCACCAGTTCAAGTTTCTAAGTTCAGTTTTAGACATGTTGACTTGCATCACTCACCCCAGAGAAGACATGCAAAATCTCTGAGGGTTGTGAATACAAGTTAAGTAACCACCACTAGATGGTAGCAAAGACATCAGGCTCAAATGCTGCTAAATATTTATCTTTTCAAATGACTATGAAAGTAGAATGTGTGTTTCTCTCTTTTAAGCACTTTTCTAGCACAGTATCCAACATAGAAAATTCTTAAGGTAACTTGTTTATCCTTTTTATCAATCTGTAATTTTTTATTTAGTCCCTGTTATGTGCCAGGCACTGTGCTACATACAGAGGATAAAAAGACAAAAATGAAACTATGCCTCCCATTCAGGAGCTTCCATTCTTTTCAGGGGAAAAGGCATTAGCAGCTGAGGGAGCAAAAAAGACATCATATTGAAGGTAATGTTTTAGCTAAATATTAAAGGAGATGGTAGATTCTAAGAGGCAGAGATGAAAAGGGGAGTGCGTTCCAGATATGTGGGACAGCCTGTGAAAAGGTACCAGATAGACGAGGTGCCGTGTATGAGGAACAGTAATAAAGCCTGTTTAACGAGACCATAGAGTTTGTAAGAGAGATAAAGTGTAATAAATCTCAAAGGTAGGTTGTGGCCAGGCCATGAAGAGCTTTGAAGGCAAAGCAGGAGTTTTTATTTGGTCCTAAAGTTGTTAGACTATGGGAGTAGTCCAGGCATGATGAGGGCCTCAACTAGAGTGGTGGCTAGATGAGTAAAGAAAGGGGCATGAAGATATGAAAGGAACAACAAGATTTGGCAACTGTTTGGATATGGGAGGTAATTGAAAATGAGGAGATGAGGATGAGAACCTGGGTAATTAGACAGATGGTAGTCTATTTGACAGAGAAATTCAGGAAAAGTATGATATGGCAAGGGGGAGAAACCAATTTTGTTTTGGACATTTTTAATTTGAGGTGACTTTTGTCCATTTCAAAATGTCTCATAGGCAGTCGGAGAGAGTAGAACTGGATCTTAGGAGAGAGACCAGGACTGGATCTATCAGGAAAGATTTCGTATAAAGTGGCTCTTGAGCCGAGTTTTAAAGGAAACCAAGGATTCTCAGAAGCAGAGTTGAAAATTTGACTTACTTTGGTTAAGATGTAAATCTTTCTAAAATTATATTTCTATTACTTGTAAAATAATATACTGGACAGTTAATCCTTTTCTTGGTTTATCATCAGGAGTATAGTTTATTGTATTGTGCTTTAAAGTAGGGATGTCCTCAAAGCCTTTGGATATAGGGCAGCACCATGTACTAAATGCCTGGAATTGTCTGCTTTTTATACTTCTTGTGTGTTAGTGTCTATGTGACTTTGTCAGCTGTCAGTTCCTGTCATTTTTCAGAATACCTGCCTATTCTCAGCTAACAAACACTTAAGGTCCTTGAGAGCAGACACTGTCTTTTGCCTTTCATTTGTATTCCCAGTGCTTAGCTCAGTGCCTGGCACAGAGTAAGTGCTTAATAAATATTTATTGACTAACTTTGTGACACATATTTGGGGTACAGAGAAGCTTTTGTTTCCTTTCAGGTGTTTAGCTGTATTCTAGATAATGTCATTAGATATGGGAGGGGGAATTACTGAATTTTGTTTTCAGGAAGAATTACTTTTAAAATCAACTTTTGTATTGGATTTCAAGTTATGTCCCCAATATTTTCTGTGACAGTCATAAGACCCAGATGTTCTGTACTTAAGAATTTCAGGAACTAATTCCAAAGTTACTCCATGTAGAAGGTATCATCTGATTGTGTATCATCTCCTATCTTAAAATGAGACAAACATACTGTTGCTGAATTTGAGTTGTCAGGCTCCTGGGACTTGATTACCTCACAGGTGCCTGACCTCATCTGCTGTCTTCCTTTGGCGTTTGAGAACAACTGAGACGACCTGTGTGAAGCCTTTTGCAAACTTAAATGTTCCATGTAAATGTCAGCGGTTATTATTGAGAGAAAGTACATTGGCACCAACCTCCAATCACCAGAGAATGCTTGAGGGTAGGAGCCCCATCAAATAGCCCTCTCCGTCGTATGGCTAGCAAAGTTCTCTGTCTGCTACTCATCTCTGTGATTCCAAATTCTCAGCTGCCTCGAGGAAACTCCCTGTTCTCTCAACTCCATCATTGCCTCACATTCTTACTTTCCACTCCACAATCCCTTGCAATCTGGCTTTTAACCTCAGCACTCAACTGAAACAGTTCTTTCAAGGTTACCAGTTACCTCTTGATTGCCAAATCCAGCAGCTTTTTTCACATTTCGTCATCCTCTTTGCAGTCTTTGACCCTGTTTGTCGTACTGTTGTCTCCTGTTTCTCCCAACTGTCTGACTGCTCATTCTCACTCTCCTTTGGTAGGTCATCATTCCTCTTCCACCCCTCTAACTGTTGTCCGTCAAGTCTCTGCCTTGGTCTCTCTTACATCTCTCTATAACCTCACTCTTGATGATCTCATCAGCTCCCCTGAGAACAGTTACCAGCTTTCTGTAGATGATTCAAAACCTCTCCACTCCAACCCATCTTCCATTCAACTTTTAAACTGAGGTGCCAGTAAACTCCAGGGGCTCCCTGCTCCCTCCAGGATCAAATATAAAATCTCTTTGGTTTTTGAAGCCCTTTATAGCCTAGCCCCTTCCTGCCTTTCCGGACTTCTGATACCTTGCTCCTTTTCACAGACTCAGCAGTCCAGTGACATTGACCTTCATGCTGTTCCTCATGTAACATTCCATCTCCCAGCTCTCAAGAGTTTCCTCTGGCTCTCTCGTGCCTAGAAGTCCCTCCTCAACTCCACTTTCAGGCTTCCTTGGTGTCCTTCAAGCCTCAGTTGCGGTCACGAAGTCGCTTTCTGTACGAAGCCCTTTCCCCGTGCTTAATTTTGGTGCCTTCCTCCTGAGACCACTCCCAATTTATCCGTACATATCTGGTTTGTACGTCGTTTGCGTGTTGTTTCCCCCGATCAACTCTGAACTCCTTGGGAGCGGAGACTATTTCTTCTTTACCTTTAATTGTAGTTCTAGCACCTAGCATACAGTAGACACTTAATAAATGCTAATTGACTGACTGTACGTCCAAACCTAATGGCTCTTCTGAGCCATAGCCCCATGTCACTGCCTGCCTTCTAGATATCCTCCCGGGAGTGTACTCCCAGCATCTCCAGTTCAGCGTGCCCACAATGGGATTCGTTACCCCCACCCGTCCTCCCAGTTCCCCTGTGTCTGTTGAGAACACCATTCTCCCTTGAGCCCTCCAATTCTGCAACTGCAGGAATATTTTCTACCCTGCCTCTCTCTGTCACATGACCAGTCAGTTACCAGGACGTGTTGCCTTGACCTCCCCAACATCTTTCCCATTCTGTCCCTTCTTCCTCTTCACAAGGCCATTAGCCTTCTTCCTGGTCTTTGTCTTCTCTTGCCTGGATTATTGTTAGAGACTTCTAATTGGTTTCCCTGCTTCTGAGCTCTTCTTTCTCCAATCCATCCTCCATATAACTGCCGCAATAATAATCTTCTGAAAACACAAGCTTAATCGTGTCATTCCCTTGCTTAAGAATGTTTAGTACCTTGCTTTTAGGATAGTATACAAAGAAAAAAGTGAAACATTTAAATAAGAAAAGCCCACAGATGTATGGGAGGGTCATGGTATTTGACATTTAAAGCCCTTCATATGTAGTTGGCATTCTTCCCCCTCAAGTTCTCTATGTTCCAGTCAAATTGGAGTGTTCCCCAAACATGGCATTCCATTGTCATGCCTTTATGTACCAGCTGGCCTCCCCTCTCACCTCAGCCTTTCAGAATCTTTTGCTTCCTTTGAGGTGCTTAGGAAGCCTTTCCTAATCCTACTAGTTATGAGTGCTTTCTGGCTCCCTGAATTACCTTGTGTCTACTTATCTTTCCATCCTTATTAAACATTACTTCTTTCTTGCGTTCTTCAGTGCAAACTGCCCTTTTCCCTGCTCCTCACACAGTGCTCCATCTTCTGACTCCATGCCTTCAAACTCACCATCCTACATGTCTAAAATCCCCTCCTTCCTTAACTCCATGTTACAGAATTGTCTTTTCCTTTAAGGTGCCTCTCAGGCACTATTCTTTACAAGAAGCCTTTCCTGATCTCCTTAACTGTTAATGCCCTCCCTCCCAAGCTCCTTTGTTTTTAACTAATTTGTGGGTATGTATTCATGTATTCTTATTTGTATATTTGTTGAACTTTATGTTGTTGTATGTATTTTTTATCTCCCTGTTTAACGTGTGAGCTCATCACAAGTAGTTATTGTTTCATTCTTTCTGCTTTTGTTCTAAACCCAGCACAGCACCTGGTGCATTGTAGATTTTTAATAAATACTGGTTGACTTGTTCGATGCTTATTTATGTGTTGTATCCCAAAGTAGAATATAAGCTTCTTGATGGCAGGGACTGATTTTTTTTTTGTCTCAGTGTTCCTGGGATCTAGCACAATGCCTTGCACATAGTAGAAGTTTAATAAGTGGTTGTTGAATATAATTGACAACCAAAATCCTTTAATGAATTGGTGCTATTTTAGGTTTTATAAAAAGTAATTATTTTAGATTGTCATAATTCAGTCTTTAACTCATGTTCTTCTCACACCCAAAAATTTAATCATTTCACTTTGTGGAATAGTTGCTTGATTTTAGAGGCTTTTCTCTTCTTGATGACAATATTTAAAAGTGAATGGTTAATTTAATTTTTAAGCATATCTTTTTCTACTTCTTTAGCAAAGGAAGAGTAATAAGAAGGTACGCGTGACAGTGAAACCTCATTTACTGTACAGAGTAAGTGATGTTCATAGCAAAATACAGCAAATTCACCATCTTTAACTTTTTTCCCCCAATGTCCTAGTCTTTTATATTTGGGGGCAAGGGACTTTAAAAAAAATACTAGAATTAATTTTTTTCTTCTTAGCCTTTAGAGCAACAGCAGGGGATTATTCCTGATCGGGATGCAGAATTCCGGCTTTTTGACCGTGTTGTAAATGTGAGAGAGAACTTTTCAGTTCCTGTGGGTCTCCGTGGCACCATCATAGGAATTAAAGGAGGTAATATTTTCATTCTGATGCCAGTTATGTGTTTCTTGGAAATAAACATGTTTGTTTGGTTTTTTTATGCCAAAGTAGGTTGGAATGGCTTTCAGTCAGATAAGGGGGAAAATCCTATCTTTAAAAGTTTATTGAATATTTTCAGCTTATCCTTTTCTGAAAAAAATTCTCCTCCTTTTCTATCTTGCCTAGTCATCTGGGGAGTGGTTAAAAGAAGGGGAAGTTGAGAAAGGGCTGCTGAGAAATTGGAGGTTTCTATTTACCACATTAAAATTATACAAGACCTCTGGCAGGTATGAATAAGTTTTCATGAGATCAGAGACAATTGTCCTCACCTTAGTCTTTTACTTTATCAGTCTGAAAACTTTATTTTAAGAGACAAGTGAGATATTCCTCTACTTTTCATTAGAGTCTCTTAATTTTTATGGAAAAATGAAATCTTTTTTCCCCCATAAAAGTAAGAGAGTGTTTGCAAATGGACTTTCAAAGTAGACGAGAAGGAAACTGAGTTTATTATTGGTTTAAAATATCTGTATCAGTAAATCAGATAATTTATATAATCTATATGCAAGTGATTCCCATTGTCTTGATTGCTAAGTAAAAACTAGATCTTTAGCTTTCTAGAAGAAAAACGTGTTTACTAGACTTCTGAAAGCTGCCAAATAAGAAAAACTGATATTGCAGCATACGGTTAATATCCTTCAGACCATGGTCTTAGTCTACAACCATTTTTCCAGTTAAAATTCTTTAAATCGTTGGACCTTAAGCTATTTAATGAATGAAATATAAAATTTAAGAGTTTTCTGTGACAATGTATCTCAGGAGAATATGTGAAAGAATATTAGTAAAAGTGAAATCAACTGACTTTTCCTTTTTAATGATTCTCTTTTCTACAGCTAGTAGAGAAGCAGATGTGCTTTTTGAAGTATTGTTTGATGAAGAATTTCATGGAGGTTTAAGGATAAGGTTTGTCTTTCCTAACGATGATGAGTCCATTAAATGAATGTCACCTAAATTTAAATTTATTTATGCTTTTTATTTTAAATGAGCTTTGTAATGCTACAAGAAAAACTGAAAAGTATTTCTTTAATTTGGTTTCTATTGATTAATGAGAAACTTAGTGTTAAAATTTGCATTTTTTTCCCCGTAATCCCATTAGTAGTGCTTGCTTATTTCCTCACTTAAAAATCATGATCCTCAATTCCAGTCACAAGTGTTTACTACAGGGAACGACTGCCATTATTATAGTGCTTTGCATCAGTGCTATCCTTGTTGGGATTTTTGCTTCCTAATTATTTTTTCTCTGCAAAATAGCCAGCAATTTCTAGCTTCATACCCATCATTGGCCATCCCCCAGTTTCCTGGACCATACAGTTTTTAGCTATGCCTGAATGTCCCTTGGAAGCCTTTATATACAACTTTTAAAAATTTATTTCTGATCTAGGGGTGATTCCACTCTAGAAGCTTTCCTTTATGGTTAGACACATAGGCATACTCTCAGAATCAAGAGAGTATGAACATATGAAGCTCTTTCTGATCTTGTTAATGTCTTTCTCTCTCTAGCTATCCCACATTAATTGCTTTGTATTTATTTTTTAATTAATCTGTTTATATTTTTTTCTGGATATACTTAGAGATGTGCATGTTGTCTCGTGATAGACTATAGACTCCTTGAGTTTCATGCTTTGTATTTATTTATGTCCCTAGTATCTAACACTCCCTGGTGTACACTGTAAGTACTTAATAAAATGCTTGTTGATTAATTAACAGGTACGTGGAAAAAGCAGCTTTGGCCCATTCTCATCAACTAAAAACCCATTTCCTTTTGAAGACTACCATCCTAGTCTAAAAAAATTATCACTGACAGAAACAGCTAGGTTCCAAGGGTTAGATCTCAGTCTGGCTCCTTGCCTTATCATTGTTGCTAGAGCAAATCATTCTAGCAAAAAGTTCTATCAACTCCTAGATGGAAGCTCATCTAAGACTGATTTCTTGAGAATTCATTACCCTCAGTATTCTGATTATTATTGCCCCTTTAATACTGTGTTTTAGATCTTATGCCTGCTGGGAAGCATCCTCATGACTTTGGGCTGTGGAACATGTATATAGTTGAAAACCTTTGTGTGGCACTCCTTTCATTACTCTCTATCTAGTTACAGGAAATGGATAGGAACTGGATATCCAGTCTAAATTGGTTAAAACACATAATAAAATAAAAGAGGATTAATTTGACTTCAGATTAGACTAATTAAGCTTGTGTCTGAAAATGTGTCCTGTGAAGCTTACTCTTCCTTCCCTTCCATGGTATCCTCCCATTTCCATCCTAGCCAGAGTCCAGCTCAGACATATGTACTCAGACATAGGCCAGCCATCCCCATTCTCCCCTGAACAGAAGAGCTAGGATGCTTTTTTGATGAAGACATTGGCCTGGGAAGAAGGAAACAAACTCAGAACATGGAAGAAAGGAACCTGGCCACCAAGAGCAGAATTCCTCCAGAAAATAAAAGAGTATGAGCCTTTCTTGCACTATTTCACTCATAGGCACAACTCTGAAAATATCTCCCCCACAAATTGAGAAAACATCCCAGTCAGACTTTATAGCCACTGTAATATAATCTCTTTAAAAAGAAAGAATCATTCCATCTGTAAGCATGAATGGCCATTCAGAAATACTATACCTTTGGTATATGAGATAATTCTGCTACTATGTGAGTAGGAACAGTAGATTTGGCAACTCGGAGTCACAGAATCTCAGAGTTGATAAGAAATCCTAGGGTCATCTAATCCAACATACTAATGATCAAAAAACCCTTTTACAGCATGCCTGATAAATGATCATCCAGTATTTATTTGAAGTTCTCCAGTGAGGGCGAAGTTATTATTTCCCAAAGCAGTCCATTCCACCTTTGGATAACTCTTAATTGTTGGGAAATTTTTCATCAGTCCTGAATCTGCTTCTCTGTAATGTATTCTTTTTTTTTTCTTTTTTCTTTATTCTTTTGCTTTTTGGTGAGGTGATCAGGGTTAAGTGACTTGCCCAGGGTCACACAGCTAGTAAGCGTTAAGTGTCTGAGGCTGGATTTAAACTCGGGTCCTCCTGACTCCAACGCCAGAGCTCTATTCACTGCACCACCTAGCTACCCCTCTGTAATGTATTCTTCATCCTAATAATGATCTCTCATCCTTTCACATTTACATGTGCTGCCAGCTCATCCCCTTATTCCAACTTCACTTCCCGTCCCTTCTCAGGTAAAGTGATAATTGAATAGGTCGGCTATTCGCTACCCCCGATTCCTTTGCCTGCTGGACACCTGCTGATGCCTGGTGATCCTCCCCTAACTGTTTGGCCCGCCTGGAAGCTATTTTAAACCTCTCCACTGAAGCTCCTCCTATCACTCCATCACTCCTTCCAGGGGAGGACGTCTTCATCTTTACTGAGTACATCAAGGTCAGCCGCTCTGAGTTCCTCGTCCTCTACCTCAGAACTCCTCTATATTATCACTCATTTTTTTCTCCTTTGCTCTGGTCTCTGAGGTAGAGGCGGCTCTTCTCCTTACTAAAGATAATTTTTGTCACCTTATACCATTCATCCCATGCTCTCTGGTGTCTTTTAGGAGTTTCCTTGTTCCCATTGATTAATCTCTCTCTTCTGTCTTCAGTCTCTTGACTTCTTTACTACACCTATGTCTCCCTCATCCTTAAAACAATTTTCTCCTGGATCCTCTTTTCTTTTTTTCTCTACACCTTATCTCTTGATGACTCCATCAGGTCCCATTGGTTCAATTATCGCTACAAAGATGACTCCCACATCTCAATATACAAACCTGATCTTTCCTGAGTTCCAGTTCAGTATTACCAACTGCCTACTGAACATTTCCTCCTGAATGTACAATTGGATTTTAAACTTAGTAAGTAAAAATAGAAAACTCATTATCTTTCTTCCCTAAAACTGTGCCTCTCCCAGACTTAGCCATTTCCAAATAATAATAGCTAACATATAACAGATAAACACTCTATGCTAAGCACTTTACAAATATTATGTCATTTGATCCTCACAGTAACCCTGGGAGGTAATTGCTGTTGGAAACTGAGGCAAACAGGTTAAGTGACATAGCTAATAAGTTTCTGAATTTGGATTTGAACTCATCTTCCTTACTCCAGGCCCAGTGTTCTGTCCACTGAGCCACCTAGTTGCCTAAAAATATTTTATTAGTTGTATATGTCATTTCAGAGAATCCCAGGTTTAGGGCTTCCTACCTAAGTTTTCATTGAGGAGGATTTCCCTACAGCCACTTAAGTGGGCCATCCTAACATCTCCCTAATCTCCAACTCAGCATTATGTTAATATTTTTTCCCTAGAAAGTTATCCCTTGGACTGCTAATAGGCAAGGCCTGCTCATAATCTTTAGGTGGTGCCCAGCTTGAACGTGGCTCCCTATTTCATGCATACATGAGAAGATTCCCCTGGTGTTAGACCTAATTTCTTGCCTGGGAGATCTAGTCCTACTTATCACTCCCTAGATATATATGAATTTCAAGAAGGATGTTAAATTTTGGTATTAGGAAATAAGCAAGAATACCTCCTGAAAGTGTTTCCGTTTCCTCTACCCCTTCCTTGCCTATTCCTTCATCCATTTAATTGTACCAGATAGTTGGCTAACAGGCTGATGCCTGTAACATAGATAGAAGAGACCAGCAGACCGTATAAATTTTCCATCACTCAAGCCTTGTCATTTCTATCTCTACTTCATCTCTAGCATCCATCAGATCTACTCCCACTCAGCCACTACCTTCATTCAAGTTCTCATTATCTCATACCTGGACTATTACTTCTAATTCATCTCCCTGTTTCTAGAATCTTCTTTCTCTAATTTGCCCTCATCACAATTGCCAAAAAAAAAAAATCTTCTTAAGGCACAAATATGAACATTTAACTCAAAAATCATCAGTGTCTTCTTATTAGCTCTTAAGATTTTAACTCATCAGACCGATGTTTAAAGTCATTTCCAATTGGGCCAATCTATCTTTCCAGACTTGTTTACTCTCTCTATTTCAGACAGTGTGAATTTGACATTCTGTGTCTTTTTTTATCATGTCTATTATGCCTGCAGTGCGTCCCTTTCACACCTGTGCTTCTTAGAATCCTGTTTTTATTCAGGCTTCAGCACAGGTTTTCTAGTTGTTTGTGTTCCCTCCTTCAGTTTGTGTTTGTGTGTGTGTATGTAAATGTATCCTCCCTTTGCCATTAGAATAAAACATCCCTGAGTGTAGAGATTTTTTCATTTTTACCTTTTAAGCTCCAGAAGCATCTAGCATAGTGCTTTTCATATATCAGATATTTACTAAATGTTTACTGAATCAAATTTAATTGTTTAAATGAACTGAATTCGTTATCATCCTATCTACCCCAAGTAGCAGGTATTGTCATCATCCTTTTTCTTTTGGATATTTGTAGGGTCTAATAGACAAACTATAAAATCACTTTTCCTTTAAGTATAGTATTATGATTCTATCTGGAAATTTCATGAAGTTATATACAAAATACAAGTTGGTTCCCTACTGTAAATCTGGTCATTTTGGTCTGCTTAACTGATTTAAAGTGAGGGATACCTATAATAATAAATTCTGAGTCTGTAATTATAACAGAATTTTAACTAACTCTTCTGAATACAACAAGATAAGTAGTATTTTACTCTTATCACCTTAAAAAAAAGAAAGTGGTATTTCAAAGAAAATTTGACTTACATGAAGGAGGAGATCCAAACTTAGCACATTGGCATACAGTGTAAACCTTGGCAGAGCTGTTGGGGGGAACAACTACCACATCCAGCAATGGAATCAGGATATGAGACTATGTCACTAGACTTGCATGATGACCAGAAGCTAAGAAAATACAATGTATTAGAGATAAATACTAAGTCCTAAACTTGTATTCTAAACTCATTTTTGAAAGGTTGGGCAAAAATGGATAATTAGCAATTTGAAAGCTTAATATGAGTCAACAATACACAGGATGGTAGCCAAAGAAAAAAGCAATTCAGCTTTAACCTACATTAAGAAAGTCACAGTTACCAGAATAAAGGAGAGTGATAGTTGCCCTTGATGATGCCTTCAAGTCACCAGGCCTAGGTTGTGTACATCCCACAAAACTGAAAGAAAGTGTCCTGTAAAGGCTAAAGCACTGCCAGACTGCCAACTTTCTTGATTTTTATAGGAGAGAGCAAAAGCTACATGATATATATAGCAGTGAACTTGACTAAGATTCCTGGCAAAATTCTTGAACATATTAATATGTTAATATATGTAAAGGGATAGTTAGTGAAAGTCTTTGAAAAAGAAACAGTGATCAGAGAAAACCAATGTGATTTCATGAAGGAACAAGTCATGCATGCCAAACTAAAGTCATTTCCAGTTTCTACAGGATTACTAGGCTAGTTGATCCAGGGAATGCTATAGATACAGTTTACCTAGATTTTAGCGAAGTATTTGACAAAAATCTTTCATGTTCTTGTGGAAAGGATGGAGAAATGTGGGGCTAACCAGAACCACACTAGATTGCCTAATTTTTTTTTTATTTAGCTAAAGTCTTATATGTTGTTTCCTTCTGGTGCCTTTTTAAGCTTGTTCTCTCATTTTAGGTGCTCACCTGCAAGAGGTTATCGACTGCCAACAAGTGCCTTAATTAACCTTTCCCATGGTAATCGCTCAGAGACTGGAAATCAGAAATTGACAGCCATAGTGAAACCACAACCTGCTGTGAATCCATGCACCTCAAGTTCATTTGTTGCAACTTCTCAGAAAGCCCATTTAGGCTCCAGCAGTTCTCCATCACTTTTGACTCCTCCTCAAGTAAGACATAGACATACCTGTCTTCAGTTGTGCTCTATTAATGTACTGTTCTGTTTTTCAAATCAGTCCAAAATTGTCTGTCTGTAATACCAGTTCTACTTTTTTTTTCTCCAGTTATGTTAAAAGATGAAAGAACATAGGCACAAACTGCATTTATTTTTAGAAATACTTGATTCAGTTCTTCTCAAGGTGAAAATATGACTTGAGTGTTTTTACTTAAGCTAATGGAAGATTAATGAATAATACAGTAACATTTGGTGGTATTCTCACTTATTTTAAAGAATTCCAATGTTAATGGACAAAATCACTTAATCTAGAAACAAGTTTAAAGACTTCCATAAATTTTGTCTTTGTGTTTTGTTTTTTACATTACAACGTAATATTATTTAGAAAAATTATACAGCCATTTATTTCTTCAGAATATATAAAGCTGCACACGATGACACATTCAAAAATGTTATTATGAATTCTCACTTTTTTATACCTGTGGTTTGCACATCTAGGGAACGTTAGAACCTCATACAAACTTCTGCAGATGACTAAAATTTGTCTCTCTACTACCAAAAGGGAATGGTACTGCATTTAATTCAGTGTTAGCAGTTTTCCCACTCCCATTCTGAAATTCATGGGAGATGTTTTAAATTTTGTAGTTCCATCTGTCTAGTTGGGTTTTCCCAAGTGGGACCGTTAGCTTTTTTCTCTCTTCTGTAGCAACAGACCACATCATTAATAACAGGTAGTTTTCAAATGAATTCAATTGGCCAGAAAGGAAAAGCACTAAATAAAAAAGTATGTTTATACCAGCACAAATTCTTTACCATTGCTGGAAAAACCTCTCAAAACTAATTCCTTATCAGCATTAAGTCAGTAGTATCATTTTTAATTCTGATAGAAAGTATTTTGCCTTTTTTTTTGTTTGTTTTGTTTTATTTTGCATTTTGGTGAGGCTGTTGGAATTAAGTGACTTGCCTGGGGTCACACAGCTAGTAAGTGTTTTGTGTCTGAGACAGGATTTGAACTCAGGTCCTCCTGACTCCGAAGCTGGAGCTCTATTCACTGTACCACCTAGCTGTCCCTAGTATCTTGCCTTTTGATGTAACAGAAGCATCACTTGATTGAGAATACAGAGACCTAGTCCTGGGCTAGTCCTGACCCCTCTACTTAATAGCCATGTGACCTTTGACAAATCACTTATCATAACTGAGTTTGAGTTGTATCATTATTAAAATGGAAGTAATGAATGAATGAATGATTTTAAAAGCATTTATTAAGTTCTTACTATGTGCCAACCACTGGAGATTCAAATAGAAAAGTCAAGACAGTTTCAAGGAGCTCTCTCTCTAATTAGAGGAGCCGATATAAAAGAAAATTCAGCTTCAGGGAAGATGGAAAGGAGCAAAAATACTAATAATGCAGTAGGAAGAATGGAAGGCCATTAATCTGTAAACTGGCTACCTAGGTAACTTTCATTAGCCGTTATCTTTCAGAGTTTTTTTCCTTTTGAAATAATGTGTAGTGGTTCCTGAAATTATGCTCCTAGAATAAGCTCCATTTATGAAAGCCAAGTGTGGTGATATACAGAAAAGTGATCTTTTGGTATAGATAAAAGTACTAGAATTGGAGTCAGAAGACCTGGTTCAAATTCTATTTCAGACAAAACTGGCTGTATGACATGGGGCAAATCACTTAATCTCTCTCAACATCAGTTTCTTCATCTGTAAAATGGGAATAACAACAGCATCCACCTTGCAAGGCTGTCGAGAGAACTAAATTAAAATAACTATGAAGTGTTTTGCAAACCGTAAAACACTATATGAATACTAGCTCCTATTATTGTATACATTTGGTCTTTCTAAAACAACCACTATTAGTTTACTCAGTTTTCTAGAATCTGTTCTTCATCAACTAGTAAACTAATAGTGGTTGTTTTTAAATTTTTTCTTATTCCTGTGTTATGCTTATGTGTAGATTATGTTTTGTTTCCTTAAATGTTTTATGTTGTACCTTTGTCAGGTACCTACTAAAGATGATGATGAATTTTGCAGTATTTGGCAGTCATTACAAGGATCAGGAAAGCCTCAACATTTTCAGCAGAATTCACAGGAGGTTAGTGGGCCACTAATACTGTATGAAAAAAATTAATGGAAAACCAAAGAAAAAAATTTATGCTACTGTTATAATTTAATTGTATTCCAGAACAGGGGTGGGAAACCTGCAGCCTCGAGGCCACATGTGGCCCTCCAGGTCCTCAAGTGCAGCCCTTTGACTGAATCCAAACTTCACCGGACAGCCTGTTTTAGAGCATTAAGGGGAGCTTAAAGAGAAGATTAGGAAAACAGAGAGCTTCTTGAGTGATTACAGTGATATACAGCTGAGTACTTGACCAGGAATAATAGAAGAGGAAGACAGATGAGTTTTATTGCTTTTTTAAAAGATAAATGATTGATCATTTTAACAGAGTGTTATAATGGGGATTCCTCTAGACTTGGGTTGGACTAAATGGCTCCTAAGTCCCTTCCTACTCTCAAAGTCCCTGATTCTGAGACAAGTTTGAGAGTTTAGCCCCTCAAAAAAAAAATGCCAAGAGATTGAAGAAATGGCCAAGAAGATTCTTAATACAATGAAGAGATACAATGAGATAAGAAAATCTTAGGGTAAAACTCCTGAAAAATAAAACAGCATAATGGTAGCTATAATTAGAATCCCAGAAAAATACAAGAAACAGCCCCACACACACACACACACACACACACACACACACACACACACAACAGAACAAAAACTACAGAAGGAATAACACTTTCTTTACCACCAGAACTGTTGTGTTTAAATCAGCCAATATTAACCTGCACTCTCTCTGTACTTGTTACTCTTGGTGGTGTGTATGTTTGTGGGAAAGTGCTTCCTGAATTTTACTTTTGTTGTTTTAATTTTATTTTTCTTTGGGGAGGGAGGAGCAGTAAGGAGAGAATATTCTGCTGTATATCTTCTTACTATAATATTTCGTTAAGTGCCTTTATATTTAAATAATTTTATCCTCTGAGTGACTGTGGAAGGGGGTAAATATATCAGTGAGGTTTTGTGATCTACAGAGTACCTTGAACCTGAGATAATTATCGTATAGGGATAGATAGAGGTGACCTAGGATTCTGCCCTGTGAACTGGGGGGACAAATCTGTGAAGGGGCTGTGGGGAGATGGACACACTGGTATATCATAGTTGTTGCTGAAGCTATGAATTGATGCAGTTGGTCCAATTCTGGGGAAAAAAACTTTGGAATTAAGGAAAGTAACCAAGCTGTTTATACCTTTTGATTGAGTAATCCCACTACTGGGTATATATGCCAATAGAATAGATAAAGGTTATTTTCCACAATAAGGTGCCTATTTCAGATCTATGGTTGGGAAAAATTCTTAAGCACACACTCAGCAAGCGTTATTAAGTACCTGCTTTGCTCCAGTCACTGTCCCAGGTACTAGGAATACAGAGACAAAAACGAAGCCAGTCTCTGCTCTCTAGGAGCTTCTGTCCTAGCTGGAAAAACGATAGAAACGTATATGAAATGCATTTTAAAAAATTACAAAGCAACCTTGGGAGGAAGGCACTGATGGCTTGGTTGGGGGAGGGAAGGAATTTATTTTTTGCACCTTCTGTAAGAATTGGAAAAAAAAATTCAGAGAAACCTTGGAAGACTTATGTGAACCGATAAAAGAGTGAAGTAAGATCAACCAGAACAGTGATTATAATTATGTAAAGGATAATTATTGTGGACATGTCTCGATCCTGGAGAGCTAATGATGAAACATAACTTCTTCTCTTCAGAGAGAAATGCGAGGGGCAGCTGGGTGGCGCAGTGGATAGAGCACCGGCCCTGAAGTCAAGAGGACCTGAGTTCAAATCCAGCCTCAGACCAAACACTTGACACTTACTAGCTGTGTGACCCTGGGCAAGTCACTTAACCCCAATTGCCTAAAGAAAAAACAAACAAACAGAGAGAAATGTGGAGGAGCAGCTAGGTGGCATAGTGGATAGAGCACCGGCCCTGAAGTCAGGAGGACCTGAGTTCAAATCCGGCCTCAGACACTTGACACTTACTAGCAGTGTGACCCTGGGCAAGTCACTTAACTCCAATTGCCTAGGCAAAAAAAAAGAGGGGGGAGGAAATGTGGTTAATGTTGATATGAAATATATTAGACCTTGTCAGACACAGTCATTTGTCAGTTTCATTTAATTCTTTTGCCTTCTTAAGAGGAAGGTTCGGTTGAGATGATGAGAAATTCAATCAGAGCATTTTAAAACTCTTAAGTTATCTTATTAGAAATAAATTATTAAAGTATCTGGTTAGGTAATTTATGGGAATTTCAACTTTCAGGTTTTGGTTCTACCTCAGGAAATAAACAGAGGAGCTACTACTGCTCAGTATCATAAATCTGGCTTCAATGACAGCAGCATTAAGGGTCAGCAAAGAAAATGTGACCAATATAGAAAATGTAAGTACAGCTAAGAACTGTAATTTAGAAAAATATGCTTACTTCTTGAAGCAATTGTTTTATTTATAAATAACTACTAAGTTCTGTTCCCTTGAAAGCTCTGGCCTATAAATTGTTTCAGAATGTGATAGATTGTTGCTAATCTTTATATCTTTGTTGTTGCTAATATTAATACTTAGTTAATTCTCAGATACCTTTTTTTCAGCACCTTTTATGAAGGTGGTTTCCTCACAAACACCCCATGTTGCAGAGATATCTTTAAAATCTATTACTTTAGAAATGTATTTTTAAAGTTTTAGTTTTGGTATTACTGGGAAAATGAACAGGCGCTCATTTTATCTATTTTTAATACTAATAGCTAGCATTGACATACTGCTTTAAGGTTTGCAGAGCACTTTACAAATATCTCGCTTTATCCTCACAACAGATGAGGAAACTGAGGCAACAGAAATTAAGCGACTTTCCCAGGGTCATAGTAAGTATTGAAGGCCAAATTTGAACTGAGGTCTTCCTGACTCCAGGCTCAGTGCTCTATATCTACTGCGCCACCTCACTGCCAGAGAGTAAGCATTAGATGATTCTCTGCACCAGTAACTTTATCATTTTTCATCTGTTTGTGTGTGTGTTCATGTAAAAGAGGTCATTTTAAGTTTTCCAAAAGCAACTGTCAGTACTGTAAGTGACATACTGTTCACTAACTGATCACTGTGCACAGGGCACTCACTCAGTGTAACATTTAGGTAAAGACACAGACCCTGGCATGATACACACTTATAACAGTGATTTTTAAAATGCACACACACATCCCTTGAGAATAAGAGCAGGGAGGGGCGAAAGAGCACTTTTACAAGGATTTTACATTTGACTGAAAAAACATGCTTCATGTTCTCTTGTTAATTGTATTTTTAATATAAATAAAATATTCTGGCTTTTTTGTCTGGGATGCTAATTAGTGTCCCCAGTGCTCTGCCCTGCTTGATCTTATGACCTTGGCAAGTTTGCTTTCATCTTGCAGGCTCAGTTTCCTCCTCTGTAAGAAAGTCTGTCTCAGCTGCCCCCAAGGCTGCTGTGCATCCATCAAGACGTCAATAATGGGGTTGGCATGTTTGAAAACGACCAAGAACCACACCGGTGTATGACAGGATTCTTTCTCCTACCATCTTCCACTGATCGTTGCCCCTCTGGCCTTTTTTCTCTTGGTTTCATTAGTTGTGCATTTCTCTAGCCTCACGCCTCTTTGTTGATTGAGACTCTCCTCCTGTAGGCATTCCACTGGGTTGAAACCCTTCTGATCCTGTGATTGCATCCTGCACACCTTCCTTTGGTCCTTCCTGCTTTCCTGGACCCTTCTGCAACTTCTTTTCTCCTCCCCAACACGTGTTTTATCTACAACTTACATCGTTTTCTAACTCAGCCAACTTCATCTACATCTCTATGCATCTCGAATGTGTATTTATCAGATTAACAAGGATGAAGCTTATTTTTCTCTCATTTAATCAAACTTCTGTTTTTATTTCTAGTCAAAGAAGATTTTAAAATTTCTAAGAATGAATGTCAGTCACAGAAGACAGCAAATAAACAGGTAAGTTAAACTTTGGTAAGTTTTCGTATGGCAAGTTTTTATTTTTTACACACTAGTAACTAATCAACTTTCTACATAGACCCTCTTGGGGGCTTTTAAGTTCTGTAGCCCTTTCTTTATTTTCTTCACCAAGGCCCTGCAAAAGATTGAGAAGTTGGCAGTCAGCCCAAGTATTTATTATTAAGCTCCTAATTATGTGCTATAAGCACTATGGTGAGGGCAAGGTATACAAAGAAAGACAAAGTCCCTGCTGTCAAAGAACATACATCCTAAGGGAAACATACAAAATATATATGGAATAGATTTGGAGGTAATCTGAAAGAGGAAGGCATCATCTGGAGGTTCCCTGGGGATTTATGTAACAGGTCAGTGGAGGGGAGAACAGTGTGAAGATTTAGAGGTGAATGAAATATAGACATGTTTTGAGCCTTTTTATACTTTATTTTCCTGCTTTCAAATCAATAAATAATTATTAAATGTCTGCTCTGTATTTCGCATTGTGCTAGGTACTGAGAAAGTATATACAGAATAAACATAAAGAAAATAAATACCAGGAAGTTTGAAAGGAAAGGCACTAGTAGTTGAGGGAATCAGGAAAGACTTTGTATAAAAGATGTGCCTGAACTGCGTCTTAAAGAAACAGAGGAGATTGGATGAGGCAGAGAGGAGGATAGACTGAGGGCATTCTAGCTTTGAGGGTTAGCCAGTGCACAGGCAAAGAGGGAGGTAGTGTATTGTGTGTAATGAAGAGCTCAGAGGCCAGTTTGGCCAGATGAACGGGTACTAGGAGGAAACATGTCCTGTAAGTCAAGCCTAAGTCATTAACTTGGACAGTCCTTTAAAGCTGTAGTTATATTTTGTTTGAAGAAAGAGGTCAAGAGGTCAAGTTTATGTTTGCTCATCTACAGACTTTTGGAGGAACCCCCAAATGTGATGTTAAGCTTTTGAAGAGAAATGAAAGTCCCAGTGCTTCAGAAGTCCAGAAAGTTGTAACTGATGATCCAAAGACAGTTGGGAAGGTAAGAGAAAGGTTTTCTGATTTCTTTTCCCAAAATTTTAAGTAGTGAGATTATGACTGGATAAAAATAAATGCCCATAATTGAATATTAAGTGTTAGACCCTTCTACATTACTGCAGTTTTTATCTACATGTTCAAATCATGTTTATTCGCTTAGACCGACCCTGGAATTGAGAATTTCCTAATATCCTTGAAAATCTCCAAGGAGAACGAAGTGCAGTATGGCGAAGAACCAACAACGAGTGAAGAACATTTGTCACCACAGTCATTTGCTATGGTTAGTTTTCTTAAAAATGTTTCCACGTTATTTCTTTAACGTTTCTCTAGTGTTGGCAAATCTGGGCTCAAGTCAAGCCTATGTTCTAATACTGGTTGGTGATATCAGTGCCCCAGGCCACAGTCATAGATGCCCTTTGATAGAAGTTTCCTTACTGAGAGTACACTATACTAATCAAGTCACAGTTCCAGACCAAAACAAAACAAAACTTTGTGGCACGCAAATAAAGGTTTTATTTTCTTATAGAAGGGAACACCTAACTTCTTGTTAGACGGTGCCCTCTATCTCATATACATATATGTTCTGCATTGTTAAGTGTGGCCTTCTGGGCAAAGCAAAGCCATGCCAAGAAACTGAAACTACCCCTTTAGACCTCTGCACCATACCTCTCTTTCCATTGCTGTTGCCCATTTCCAGGCAGGAATTGGACAGGAACGTAACTGTTTTTCACCATGAAATGTTCCATTAAAAGAAAAATAATATAATTCTCAAAAAGAAATGAAAGGCATTAGGATAATACTAATCTTTGTTGTGTTTTCTTAAAGAAGGGAACACAGATGCTTAAAGAAATTCTGAAAATTGATGGCTCTGACCCTGCGGACCACAAGAGTGAAGTAAAACAATTAGTTAATGAAGTTAATGCCTCTTCTAATAGGAAAGAGGTTTATGGATCTTCTTCACAGCCTAGGCAAACCAAGAAGTTAGGTATGTCGAATGTATAGGTTCTGTACTAATCATCTAAAATAATTATAAAAGTTCAGTCCTTTTTTTTATTGGGTGCAATTGTCCTAAGATCAAATTATAGAATTTGTAATGTATTGTTTATGTAATATGCTTATAGTGTGTTATTGGTTATAGTATGTAATAAATATATATTAGTAAACATACTCACACTTAATATCCACAGATATTAAACCCAAAGATTTTTATTAATTCTATTACCCTCAGTTTAAAATCACTTCTTCTGAAATATTTGATATCCAACTAAAATCACAGATTTTTTTCCAATTACACTTCACCTTAAAAAGACTTTGTCCAGAAAGATCTGTATAATCCACACATTAGGGATTCGCTCTTCTAATATGTTTTTTAAAGACTGAAATTATAATGCAGTTTGTTATTATCTGAATCTGGATGCAGTTCTATTATTTAACTATATCACTTTGTAATTAGTTGTAGCATTAATACATCATAGCAAAACTCAGGTTTCAAAATTTTTCTTAGCATTCAACCAACTTCCCAAGACAGTCTCCCTGCCTTCATAACATTATTATTGATTGATTTTCAGAGAACCAATTAATGACATCCCAAAATATGTTATTTTTATTCCTTAACACCCATATTATAAAGGAAATTCCATTGCATTTTTAATTGCCAAACTGATTTGATAATTTGATGTATCTCATCCTATAACATGAGAGCAGTTCTGAGAGTATTTGCTTCATATAGTGGTGTAAACCACTGAAAAGTCATAAGGAATGAGGGGAAAACATATTTTGGGGTGGAATGAAAGTGTTCCATATGTCAGAAGCAAACGAAATGACTTTTATTTTCTAATACATGTTTGAAAAAGTGTTTTTGGCATGTAAAACAACATCTGTGTTCAATATACAAGTTTTTCAAGTTTTCATAAAAACTATGATTAGAACAGAGTGCTTTATGCAAACATCCCTAGAACAGAGTTGAATAGCCAGCAGGCACTCAAGATATGTTCATTGCTGACGGGACACATATACTTTAAATTTTCTCTGTAAAGTCAAATTCAAATGCCTCCTCATGGTATGAAGGTGACCCTGGGTTCTCTAAAAAGTGTAAAATGTGGCAGTTTCCGCCATGCTAAAAGGCTTCAAGTAGAACCCTAACAACAGGAAGTATTCATGAAAAACAAGCAGATTTTCTTAAGATTTTCAACAATGGACCACGTCTTTATCATTTAATAATTGACTAAAAGATGCAGAGAATGGGAGATTCAGATCTACTGTCCTTACTGATTTTTTTTATTATGGTAAAATATCTGATTCAGTACAAGAAAACACCTTATGGTTTCATTTTCAATAAGATCTGCACATTGCAATTCTTCAGAGTTCCTTGAAGCAGAAATAACTATGTTGAATGACCCTCTACTCATAAACATTAAAGGAGACTGTAAGCAAGCACATGTATGTATGTATACCAAAGTTTTTTACCACTGTGATGGAGATATAGCTCAGAATCCAAGTGTAAGGGTCTTTTTCTGAGAACAGGGAAAGCCCCCAAGTACTCCTTTTTTGTGGATGACATTGTGCTAATTGCATCAAATCTCAGAACATTGCAGAGCCTCTTGGAAGAAATGTTACTATTAAAAAAAAAATTTTGCCTGACTCTCCAGAATGTCCATTGCCTAGACTATGATATGCATTTGGATGGGACACATATACTTTAGAGCTTGCCTATCATTAGGTATATCTAACAGAGATAATATAAATGGATGTAAGATGGACCCAGAGTTGAACACGAAGAAGGGAGCAGACAGAATCACCTTTCGCAGAATTGCAGAGCTACTTTAAAGTCCCCAAGCTTTCCCCAGAAACAAAGGTCCTCCTTAATACCAGCATTCTACTAGTGTTACTGTACATCAGTGAGACATTGAATCCAAAAACCTCTGAAGAATGTAAAATTAATGTTACATACTTGACGGTGGAAAGGCACATGATAAATGTAAGGAAACTGCCAACATGTAACCAATGAGGAAGAAAAATAAGAATTTGAAGATGGCATCAAGGAAACGTATGATAGAAAGAGAAAATGGTCTGGTCATGTACCGCAATGACAGGTGGACAGCAAGAAGGCTCCACTGGCATCCTTACAATGACAGAAGAAAGCAAGAAAGGCCTCCAGCACATGGAAGGACCCCCTGTGGCAGACTGATGAAAGGGCATTGCCAAGAGTTTCGCAGGATGAGCTGGCACATATGAGTTGTAATCTGAATCATTGGAAAAACTTCCAAATCAATAAAATCAGGATCCATTTTGAGAGAGCGAAAAATTAAAATATGATAATAATAGAGACAGCGTGGAGTTTATGAACCATTTAATTTGACTGTTGGTGTGTTCTGAATGTGAGATATCCACATCCAGTGACCAGAAAGCAGAGCTGAACCATATCAGTCCTGACATTTTCACTCCCTGGCCGCCTGGTCCCCAAAAACACAGATCTTGGAGAACTCAAATCTTTCGTGCCTGGAACTCCCCCCGGGAGTGAACTCTTATCCCATGCCATCCTACTTTTCAGTTCTGAAACAATAATTAGATCCATTCTGTCATGATTCCTAAAAGAGTGGATCAGTCTACTCCTTAGTGACTCCGTTCATCACCCCTGCAGCTTTAACAGACCAAAATGTCATTCCCTAGCCATCCCTCCCCTGTGTATGTTGTCTCCCTCCTCAAGGGTGTAAGCTCTTTGAGGGCAGGGTCTGTCTTCACCTTTGTGTTTGTATTCCTAGCAGTTACCACAATGCTTTGTTCATAACAAGCTTCTAATAATCTTTTTTTTTTTTTTGTGGAAGACCTGGCTTCAAATATCATTTTTAACACATTTTTGTTTTGTTTTATTGATGTTTTATTTTTGTTACAGACATTTACCTATTATTTCTACTTTATGAGAGATCTGTTGTAAGAAAATGAAAAATAATTAAATACCATGACCTCATCTAAAAATGCATTGTGTTTAACATCTATAGCCCCTTCCCACCTTTCTACTTTTCTGAAGTAACAGAGAATCTATTTTTTTTCTTCCTACCCTTCACCCCATTGAAAAAAAAAAAAAGAAAAACCAACTTCTTGTAACAGTATGAATAGACAAGAAAAAAAATTTCTTCAGTGTTTGTGTGTGTATATACATAGACATCTGTACAATATGTCTCATTACACACTTAAGTCTGTCATATTTCTGTGTTTCATCATTAGTCCTCAATCGTAAATGGTCATTGTTCTTGTCAATGATCATGTTTCTTACAGGTTTCAAAGTTATTACAGTGTTGCTATTATTGTGTAAATTGCTGTCCTGGTCCTGCTCATTTCATTCTTCATCAGTGTATAAAAGTCCTCCAAATGTTCATTTTTATAATAAAGTGGGAGAAAAGATGGGAGAACTTACTAAGAGACATAAGTGAGTTATAGAAGTTGAACTCTATGCAAATAGGGGGATCATTCATCAACTTTCACCTTCGCTTTCATTTAAATTGGTTAAAAAAAGAGAGAGAGCAGAACACACACACAGTTTAGTGTAGAAATACCTTCAAGTCAACTGAAAGACAGATAGGAACAGGAAGAGGAAAAAGGAGAAAGAAAGAAGAGTAAATCCAGGAAGGGATTAGTCGTTAGCAAACAAGTCTAACGTGTTCTAGATCTATAATCCTGCGCTGCCACTTAATCATTGTATACCTAAAGTAATTCAGACTCAGTAAGTCAAATGGGTTGCTATATGCTTTGATGCTTGGCAGAGAGACTATTCCTACAGCAAAAAATCTCCATGCTGCCAAAAATTACACATTTTTATATAGTAGTTCTTCATTTCCAAGGCAAGTATTTGGAGGTGATGTTGAACCAATCAATCAATAAACATTTATCAGCTGCTTTTTAAGTTCCAGCCATCGTGCCTACTGGATGTAGGTCATGTTTTATTTATAAAGTGAGTTGTTTTGGTTTTGTTTTTTGTCTTGTAACCATTAGCTGTTCTCTGATCAAAAAAGGTAGCAATATAAACCTTAGTTGAGCAGTTATAACTGCCACAGTATTTTTTTTTTGTTGGTATGTCATTCTTATTAAATATAAATGTTTATTTCTTTTGATAGCTGCTTATATGAATAAGCCTCATAATCCAGGAGATTGTCATAGTGCTCAAGCGATAGACAGTTTAGGCCACCCTGTCCTCAATCAGCAGCCTTCTTTGTCCACACCAGTATCAGAGCTTTCTCGACTTTGTTCTCTTGTTGGAATGCCACAACCAGATTTCAACTTTCTCAGAACACCACAGGTAAAGTATTACTTTATTATTATCACAATTTAATGGAATTTGGAGGGGGAGGAAAAAGCTTTTGCTAGAGAAAATAATGTGAGACTCAAAGAGGGAGTTTATGTGCAGTAGCCAGATAGAGTAAAAACATAGACATTGTTGGGCCTTTGCTTGCATTTCCAGAAATGTGATTCTTCAACTCTTCAATCTTATTTAAGAGGAAAATGCAATAGATGGAATAGAAAGAGGATTTTGTGCCCAATTCAAGTAAATACTTTGTGCCTTAGAATTGTTGAATAGTTGAAATAATAATAATATACAATGAACCTAAATCATTTGTTGGACTTGGTAAGGATAGAGACCACAGGCCTAGAGCACCCAATGTTTTTTCCCAGCTTGAGTAATAATACAGTTTCTTGAGTGTTGGGTACTTTGAACTCACTGTAAGGAAGGAAGGATGGATATTATACCCCCAAAATACTTTGTGATCCTAATGAGGTTCCCACTGGGCCAGAGTCCAGAAATGGCCCTTCAGTGACTTACATCTGCAGGTGCCATTCCTGGCCCTTAAGTATCCCTCCCACTTTACCGTGACTTACTGAGGTTTGACTGTGTTAGATGGAAGTTTATAGTACTTCCATTACCACTTTAGTTTTATCTTCCTTCCCCTTAGAATGTAGAAGGTTGAAACATATTCAGTCCTGATCAGCAAGATCTTAATTAGTAAATCTTAACTCTACTTATTATTTTATTATTGTGTATATTGATTTTCTCTCTCCATTCCTGCCTGGCTTTGTAGAACATTCCCTCCATCTCTTAAAAGGTCTCTTATTCACTGCATTTCTGTCTATTCTTTTGCCTAAATGGTATGTTAAAAGCTTTCTACTTTGTTTCTTTTCTACATCAACAGATTCCATTTTTGCACAAAGGGTAATTATAAAGAAATCATGTTGAAGAGAAATCTCAGTAACGGTGTCCTGACAGATTGTGCAGACAGAATAACCTTGCCTGTCATTATTAGCTAGGCCTGCTCCCTTTTTAGTCTTTATTTAATCCCATCTTGAGTTATGTCCCAGAATTTCTAGCGCAAGTAGTACAAATTTATGACTGTGCCCACTACATCGTTTTTAAAAACAGCTAAATGTTAAAAATATAAGTGCCAGAAGTCAGGTGTGAAAGTAAGCACCCCTCACGGCCACATTTTCTAAATTGTATAATTTATTTATTCTTATTGTTTCTGCTACTTAAATGTGGTCGTAGCGCGCGTGCACGCGTGCGCGCACACACACACACACACACACACACACACACACACACACACACCAAGAAAGCATTCCTAGTGTTGTCCCCTATCAAAATAGACTACTACATTGCTTTTAAGTATAGGACCGCTACAATGCCAGTGGAAAAGAAGACCATACACTTATTTTAACATTCCAAAAGGATAGTAGAACCTTGTTCTTTATTTTTGCTTTATTCCACCTGTTCAAGTGTTTTAACCTTTTAAATTTCCAGAATGCCACATCCTGTATTCAAACAAAAGAGCAATAACATCTCGTTAAATATAGACAAATTTCAGATAATATTCAGTGCTTTCTGAAGGACATGGAGTAAATGAGAATTTGAAATGATGGAGTTAATCAAGGAAAGCTTCATGGATGAGAAGGGAACTTTGAGCAACCTTGAACTCTTTAGATTGTCACCAACATGTTAAAACATTAAATTAGTGGAGGCAACATATCCTAGTGACCAGAAGGCTGACCTCAGAGTCAGAAAGACCTAGGTTTAAAGTCCTGCCTCTGACAAGTATAGCCTTTGTGCCCATGAGGAAGACATTTTATCATCAATGCACCAAAGCATCTCTAAGACTTAAGTTACAGCCACCTTGATGATCTGCCTGGGTGAAGGGAATTTCCACCCTGAGAATACTCCATTCTCCTTAACTAACTGATTGGACACCATTCTATGGGAAATACCAATAGGATTTTTTTTTTTTTTTTTTGCTTTTTGGTGAGGCAATTGGGGTTAAGTGACTTGCCCACGGTCACACAGCTAATAAGTGTCAAATGTCTGAGGCCAGATTTGAACTCAGATCCTCCTGACTCCGAGGCTAGAGCTCTATCCACTGCACCACCTAGCCATCTCACCAATAGGATTTTAAATGTCAACATGATATATCTTGGTCTGCAGTTCATGGTCAAAATCAGTAGGGCAAAAGGCTAGTCAACAGTTAGGGAAAATTATATTGGTAAATTAAAATATATTTCTTTGAAACTTTTATCAATTTTGGTTACAGTGCATTCTGCTCAGATGTTTCCAGGCTTCTCTACATAGGTAGCAAGACAGTTTTTGATCATTCCTTCTAAAGAGCTTCCCTATGCAAGGACAGGCAGTATAGAGCAGTAGAAAGGGCATGGATGTTACAGTGATGGCCTGACCTAAGCCCAAATCCTGGCTTTATCATTAGCTCCCTCCATGACTTTGGGCAAGTCACTTGTCCTCTCTGAATCTCCATTTTCTCATCTGGAAGATGAGTACATCATATTAGATGACCACTAAAATCCCTTTAGGTTCTTAATCTGTGCTATGTACAAACATCCATCTCTTTGTTTGATTTTATGTTCTTTTGTATTTTTGTTTGTTTGTTTTTGCTAGGCAATGGGTTTAAGTGACTTGCCCAGGGTCACACAGCTGGTAAGTGTCAAGTGTCTGAGGCTGGATTTGAACTCAGGTCCTCCTAACTCCAGGGCTGGTGCACCACCTAGCTGCCCTAATTTTACGTTATTTTCAAAGATTGAGAGAATAGTTGCAAAATTTTCACGAGGCTCGTTACCGAGTATCTTTTGTCCAACTGTTTATGGAAACCGTCATTGACTTTTTAAACTTCTACTTCCAAAATATATAATCTGCAGTAAAAGTTCTTCATTTAAATGAGTCTTTCTATTGTTGTTAGTTGCTGGCATAGTCTTATGGGTGTATATTTTATCTTTCATAGACAATGACAGTTTGTCAGGTAAAATTATCTAATGGCTTACTCGTACATGGACCCCAATGCCCATCTGAAAATGAAGCCAAGGAGAAAGCTGCTTTTTTTGCTTTACAACACCTGGTAATATCCATCCTCGACTATTATTTTAATTTTTTAGTACTTTGTTTAGAATATAGTTGCATTTTCTTATAACCTTTTTTATACTTTTATAGAGTACTGTAGGAATGAATTTTCCTTTGCCTCCACCAATGTTTCCCAATTATCCACCTGCTGTACCCACCGGAGCCATTCCTCCAGTATTTGCCCAACCTACTGGTGAGATATGAAATTTTTCTAAATATTTTTAAAAGGAGTTTCAATTTTTGGAAGTGTTTACAAGGTTCTGATTTGGGGGAATCATATATATGCTTATCACACAAAATAATTAGACATTTAAGATTTCATGAATTAACTATTTTCCTATCAAGATGGAAATTATATATTTAGGTTGAAATTATTAAGCAATTAGTTCTATTCTTTTTTAAATTGAAAGCTATTTTTTACATAGAGTATCCTTTGAATAATATTTTAATGTGAAATTTTATAGGTCTTTTTATAATGCAGACTGAGTACAAAGTATACTCACAGAATCTTATTTGATTATTCATTTCCAAAGTATAAATGGATAAAGTATATGTTCAACTTCTAAATCCTATAATCAAACATTTGTGGGAACCCAAAATTCTTCCTAAAACTTTCACTTTAAGATAGATTAAAAACCTATGAAAAATAATAGCTGTCACTGTTTTTTTAATTAATAAGTATATTTTATGGCATGATATTTCTAATCTTTTTATACTCATTAATAGTTTAAACCCTTCAAAGAATTTTGAGGCTGTAATTGGAATAATACTAATCGTAAGATAAAAAATAAATATGAAATGAACTCATTAGTAATATTTTGTAGATTTGTATTTTTCTTTAAGCACGCTTTAGATTTGGCAACACTGGGGAGCATCTTTTACTTGAAAACCATATATTTAGAAAAATTAAATAAAACTAGGTGACCTGCATGCTGTATCAAAATAACGTAACACATATTTTAAACTTATAGCTACCATCAGCCAAGTTAATTTGTAGATAGCATCAAGGCCTAGTTTTCTAGATTTGCAATGTGTTTACATTTTAAAATTTCTACCCAGTTCCATTGAATTAGAATATGTGCATATATACAACATAAAGGTTATCATGTTTATTACCAAGCTGTGTTTTAATAAAATGCTAAAAAAAAAAAATCTCTATTGATCTTAAAATTTCAAAATTATTTGAATCTTGATAAAGCTGTATTATTACAGCCTCTTTTTTTCTACCCAGAGACACTCTTTGGGTGAACTTGGTGCATACCTTCTGCAATGACACTATGCTGATGACTAGATTATCATTATTTAATGTCTCTTAATGTTTTTAACTGGATATTCATGAAAATATGTTCCAAACAAATTTTAAACTATCTAATTTCTAATATTTGAGGAAGGTAAAATTAATTTACATGTTAACATGAAAGTGATCTGGTTTCAAGACTTGAGCTTTCTTGGTTTTTTATAGGCTGGGATCACTATGGAAGCAGCTTAGCCTTTGGGGCAGGTGAGATCCTTAAGATTGCTCTCTTTGTGCCCAGGCTTTTGCCCTAGGGACAATTTAATGGCCCTTCCATTACTTTTGATAACAATGCAAATATTCCTAAAGACGCTTGTCAGTATATGAAGCTATATGTATACTTTGTATTTAAAAAGTATTCATGATAAATTGACTTCTGTGGCCAGTTCACAGTCATTGGAGTGGCTCCAGGAGGAGAATGTCTTAAGCTAGAACAGCGAATTGCAGATTTAATGTAGGCCTTTTCACAAGGGAGAAAAAGAAAGCCAGAAAAGGGTTGGGGAGAGCCTTGATTCTTGAGAATTTTGATCCTAAATCTCTATTCACAAGAGTTTAACATTTTCTGTGGCTTTTTACAGGTAATATAATGCCTCCATCTCCTCACATCTTTGGTTCGGTGCCATGGGGATCTCCAATGCCAATTCCTGGGAAACCTTATCACCACCATGCTCCATACCCCACAAACATGCCTCTCACAGGACCAGTGCCAGTTGCACCTCACAATCAGTTCATACCTCTTCAGGTAAGGTCTGAAAAAAATTCTTTCTGTTTCAAGTGCATGTTTATTTTGTGTACATATGTATGCATTGGTTGATTCATTCATTCATTTATTTTTGTGGCCAAATCTCCTACTCTCACCCAGGCTGAAAGTGCTGCAGCATTCCCCTCACTCCCCACCATGGGCCATCCCCTCCCTAGGCATCCTAGGAGCACCCCAACTCCTGAGGCATCCTTTTAGTGCCTGACTCAACCTCTACAACACAGAACCCCAGACTGAAGTGCTCCACCCACCACCGCCTCTCCTGCAGCAGGCGTGCACCACTTGTTGGCTGCAAACTTATTTTAATGCCATCTCTAAAGTTAGTCTTTGAATTGTGGGGAATTACTAAATAACAGTTTGCATTCTTAAGAGCCAGCATGGCAGAATGATGAGAGAGCTGGCCTCTGGGCTTAGAGGACCCGGGGTCAAGATCTTCCCAAGTGTGACTTTGGGCAAGTCACTTAAACTTCAGAGCCCCAACTGGCTCTCTTAGGTCTGTATATTTGAGAGAAGGTGCTAAAAGTCATAATAATTTGTGTTACATATAACTTTCTCCTCTGTAACTGCCAAAGTACATTTTCAGTTCACTATATATAGTACTCTATTTACAATACCTACCTGATTGTGGGGATTTGATAAATTATGATAGGTGATGCCTATAGCAATAGTACTTGCTACAAGTAGTTTCATTAGAAAAAAATTTTAATTAATGAAATGTGTCTTCCTTAAAGGTTACAAAGAAAAGAGCTGCAAACAAAAGGAACGTTGAGTGTAAGGGAGCCCAAGCTTGTTCTTCTCAGGCCGCCCCTCTTCAAGCAGAGTCCCCAGGGCATTCAGAAAGTGCCCAGTTAACTTCCCAGGAGAGTTCTTCATCTTTAAAGTCACCTCAAGTTCCTCCAACTACAGTTTCTTCTCAAGACAGAGTAGCCTCTTCAAGCTCTGGTACTTCTCGTGGTAAATCAACACCAGGTTCTTCAAGACGAAAACCAAGGAAACTGGCAGTCAACTTTGGTGTTTCTAAACCATCAGAATAAATATGGTATTTAGGATTAAATTAATGTTTTCTTTACAACCTCCCCAAACTTTTTTAATAAGGATCTTACATGTCCTATTAAAAAAAACAAGAATGCACTATTTAAAAAAAAAGAAGTTTGTAGTATTGAAAAATTGAAGATCTTTTGGTTGTTAGGCTTTTTTCAGACTGTTAAAAGTGTATGTACAAAAAGTTTGTGTTGTGAAAGGCACTGAAGACGCAAACTTAAAAATGAGCCACTCCGTCCATCCATTGTGCTTAGATACAAGGAGCATCTTAGCACCATGACTTGGAGATTATATGAGCAATAATAATAATAATAATAGCATTTTCTAACCTTTATTTGAGGCAGTAAGTAGTGGTGGAGTTGAAATGGGGCCTCAAACATAATTTACTATAGGTGAGTTTTATTTTTGTAATAGTTTAATAAAATGGATGGGGAAGAGAGGAGTGGCTCTTATTTCTTTGCATCTTAATTTGTGTTGTTTGGCTCTATGGGTCCTTCGAGCCTAAAAGAAAATAAACCTAATGGGGCTGCTGCTGCCAGGCTTGCTTTCTGTCCAAATTTTATACCAAAGCTGCTTTCAAATACCAACCAGAACTTTGATCTCTCTAAATGTCTAGAACTTTAATAGTAGCAAATTAGGTTTGAGTGAGTAATTAAAAAACACTTCAGTTGCTCATGAACCAGCATTGTTAAGTAACAATAGTTTAATTTAATATCCACAAGATTCAATTACTATAAATGAATAGACTGTTGGACTATGATGCAAATCATTAATCATGTCAATATAATTCTTCTGTATGATTTTCCAGCTGCTGCTTTACCACCATATGAACCTGCCTCTCATTCAAACACAATGCTGCCTAGGAGACTAAAGAAATCTTAAATATAGTTTAAATTCGAGGGTGTGTGCTTATGTAGGAGCAAACATCAATCACTTTTCTATTTTATATATTATCTCTATGGCAGATGTCTATTTCATATCAGTTCCATATTTTTAAACCCTTTCATGGAACTGCTTAGTGACTGGCATTGTGTTTTCTTTGCATGTTACTTATATTTATATTCATGTATGAGAGTGTGTATATCTTCAATGTGTGACTGTTGAAGTTATTTTAAAATTTGTTAAAAATTCAGTGTCACTGAGGCAAAATTTGTATACTCAAGAATCTAGTCTTTGTTATTTGGTTTTTTTAAGGAATGGGCATTGCCATATGCTTTATTTAAAAAAAAAAAAAAGATAAAAAAGAAAGAAAAGGGCCACACATTGAATGTGGTATTGCTTTTTAATCTTGTATCCAATTTCATTGGTCTTCTGTTCTACTATGGGTCTTAAGGAAGTTTTTATTCTCAAAATTCAGTTGTTAACTTAATATTTTCCTCTCTCTGCTGATTCCAGTGTTCCTCTAGCAACCTATATGAAGTGATATTAACACAGCAGTAGTGCCTTTAGCGCAAGGAGATGGTCATAATTGATATATTACTGTTTGGAGCTATTCACTAGCTTCTGTATTCATTTTCTAGGCTCTTCAAATACCAACTCCTTAATTTTTACTATTCAGAAAGTCTTTGTATATTGTGGTTACAGTGAACAGTGTCTAATGAGTCAAGTAATTCAGAATGTTGTTTGTATGCTTTTGCAAACTCCCTATATCCGTGCCCTATTTTGGCTGCTCAACAGCCAATTCTTGGCTTTCAGATACATAGGGGCCACTTATTAGGAATAGGAAACATTTGCTTCCTATTTTGGAACCCTAGAGAAAAAAAAATCTAATAGAAACAGTGATGTTAATACTAACATCTTAAATTTGTGGTATATTAAAATCTTCATGTCTGGCAGCTATGTAAACTAACAAACAGAAATCATTTCAACTTGTTAATGTCAATATAACTTCTTTTAGGACATAAAGAGAAGAACTTCCAAAACTGCAAGAAGAGTTTTTTTGTTTTTGTTTTTGTTTTTTTTTAGCAGAGTGCGATTTTCCATCTTAAATACTCTATCAAAGTAAAGCTTGCTCAAAATTTTATAAGATGTCACCTTAAAATAGCAGAATTGCCCTAGCATTATGCTGAGCAAATGACTGAATTGATTCATAGAGATAATTGCCACCAAGTGATTAATTAGCAGTCATGAATTCCTATAGGGCTTTCATTTTTTCCTTGAAGGTCTTTTCCAAGTGCTTATATGACTGAGGCTACAGAGATGAAATGGAATAGAATACACAAGGCAAATGGAAATCTTTCACCTACTCTCTTCATGGGACTTAAAGTTAAATGATGCTAACTTTGCCCCAGAAATGAAGATTTAAAGGCCCCAAGTGAGCTTATCCACCTCCATCCAGTTAAATTATGGGATCTTGTTTCCATTTATGGTCATGCCTGGTATAGTCTTGAGAATTTCTCCTAGGATTGAGACTTTGGGCCTGAGATTCTGAATTCTCTGGTTAACCCTTCCATCCAAGGCAAGCTCAAATTAGTCCCCTGGGATGCTAATACACCCGTTTACCTTACTGCCTTCTTTTTGCAGGTCAGACTCTTCTTGGTGATTAGACTCTTAAAATATGTTAGGTATCAGAAGAGCTAAGCCCAAAGTGGTTTCAGAAAGAATACTTAAGTGCCCCTTAACTCTTTATTTAAGCGCTAGTTAGGTACATACTTGGTTAACAAAGTATATTTATTTGTTGACCAGATTTAGCAAATTCATCATCTATATTCAAGGATACTTCTTAGTTTTTCCAAATTACTTATAATCTATTATTATTTTTATATTTTTATAGATTAAATAACCTAGACATTACTTACTTGGGCATCTCAGAATGGATGAATTGAGGATTTTAATTCATCTGTAAATGAACCTTAGTTCCACCTTGGAACTTGCCAGTTAACAAAAGGCATCCAAGTAGTTATGATTGGAAATGCTTTTTGTTGGTTTATTTTTTAGACAGCTAGTGGAGATGTAGATATATTGATATAAGATGGTTTCATTTTTGTTCTGAGAACTTTCTATACCTGATTAGGACTATTTAAAAAGGGGAGAAAGCTGGTGTTAAACATTAAAATAAAATATATAAGAACACTGCTTTCTTGACCAGTACCATTGTAGCCTATTCAATATAACCCTGTCTCTAAAGGTTATTTGGAAAATCATTTCATTAAAGACTATTGTAGTTCTCAATGTTTTTAAATTGCTTATCAGTCAAAATGTACTTCCACCTCACCTTTATTTTTTTTTGATGGGTTTAGGGGGCCCTGAGTGTATACAAAAATATGTTTCACTAAGAAGGAAACCAATCACAGTTCACTTGCCTTGGAGAGCAGCATAAATCTTTAGTGCTGCTAGTTTTTGTTGGCTTTACTGATCAGACTTTGGCAGCTAAAGTTTTAGAAGATGCCTCTCCTAATTAAAGATACAGACTCTGAATTCCAGAAACAAGATATGCCTATCACAGTTATCAGGTCCCCCACATAGATCCCCTGAGCAGCCAAATAGTATTATAACAAAAGATATAATTTGTTTACATTGTATAAGGCTACTAAAATAAAAAATGTTTTATAATAGTACTACTCCTTAAGGAGGAAAAAAAAACTTAGCATAGGAAAAACAGGATTCAGTATAGAAAATTAGATCATATCTTTGTGTAACATATAGCTTTTTAGTCATTTCTTGTTTCTTAGAATAATAGTGGCATAAAATTTGGAGGCAAAATGTTTTGTGTCCAACACTTAGAATGGGAACTGAACAAGTAATAAAGTGCATGGCTGTATCAAAGCATTCAGCTATCTGAAATGCAGTTTATGAAGGGCACTAACCATCCCATTTCCAGGACATAAATCTTTATAGTAGTTGCCCCTTCCAAACTCGTGTATTTCAGAAGTGTTATACCCCCAGCTCACAGATTTTCGAGTCGTTTGCTGTAAAATGGAGGAGGCAGTATGGTGTAGCAGAGCAGGCACTAGATTTGGAGGCAAAAGACAGGTTCAAATCCGGGCTCTTCGACTTAGTACCTGTGTGACCTTGAAAAAGTCACTGCCTGGGCCTCATTTTCTGCTTCTCTAAAATGAAAGGATTGGACTCAATAATTTCTAAAGTTCCTTCCGGCCCTATACCCTGTCTGAATTACCAAGGCCAGTAACTTAAGCTTCTGTTTCATCATCTGAAGCCCAATTCTCATGCTACAAGCTCATGCAGAATCCAACAGATGAGAATTTGTACCATAGATTGCTGTGGGTTCCATTCACCCCTTCTTCATACCTTACAGTTCATTTTTCTTTTTGTTCACAGGTTGCATACAGTTTCCTCTACCTGATGCCCAATTGTTTCTTTTAGTTTTTATATGTTCTAGTACATGAATAATGGATCTGTGCTACATCATCCATGACTTCAACTTTTTATTTGTTTTAAACAATGTAATTAAGTTAAATTTTCCAGATATATCTTGAAGCATTTCTTTATCCTCATAGATATAAATATTTTATATGTACTGGAATTTTTCATTAGAACTTATACAGAGCAGTATTTTATTAAGAATCCCAAAAGGAAAATCTTTCTGTGCTCATTTTGTAGTTTGATTTTTTTTTAATACCCTGTCTTTGTTTATCTGCCAAGTAAAGTGTCTTAAACTTGTATTTGAATGGATCTAGGATGTATTTTTGTGTTTAGTGTTAAGTTGTGCATTTACAGATTTCTAGCATGTAGTTTGCCTAAAAGACTGTGCAAAAAGTATTTTAAAGGATATGATACATTGGAGGAATAAAAAGAACCAGCCGTAAGATTTAAATGCTGTGTACATCTGTAATTAAACAATTGATAATCATTCTATGTGACCTGTTTCTTGTTGTCTATTGGGATTCATATCATTGAAAACTTTTCAAAGGTTTCTTTCCATCATTTTATATTTGTGTCTCAGTTTTACAACATTTAACTTTATTCTTCACTGGAATAACTTGAGAATTAATTGTCCTTTCCACATCATACCTGAAGGCACCAGTTGGGACAAGTATAGCCTGGCACCTGGCACCTGTGACCTCAAGCAAGTCACTTAGTGTTTCTCAGCCTTACTTTCCTCATCTAAATAAGGTCACTGGAGGGTTTCAAGAAGAGGCTGAGAAGACCCTTTGGCAGACACTCACTTTGCTTTGTGTGAAAGCACTTTGTTGAACTGCATACCCTACCCAATGATCATCCAGTATTTGCATGCAGACCAGTGAGAGGGAACCTAATACCCCAAAAGCAGTTGCATTTAAGGATCATTTGGATTATTATTATTTCCTTAAATCAAGCCAAAGACTGCCTCACTGCACCCATTCCTCCTTGTTCTGCCCCTGGAGACCAATGCAATCATACAATACAATATGATATGCTTTATCTCTTATGATAGGCGAGGCACCCTGTAGGTGCAGGGGATGCAAAAACAGAAGAGCCAGACCCTGAAAAGAGCTTACATTCTACCAAGGGAAATACAACATATAAACAGATAAGCATCTCTGTGGTGGTTTGGTGAAGAGGGAGAACACGGCTGGTGCAGGGGTTCTTAATCTGCAATCCCTAAACTTTTTAAAAACGTTTTGGTAACTTTCAATGTAGTTGGTCTCCTTAGCATTAAGTATTTTATTCTTTGCATTTAAGACCATTATACTGAGAGGGGGCCAGCCTCAGATGAAAAGAGGAGCCAAACCTTCCCTTACCTGCTTTGCTGCTCAGCATATCTCCTGGTAAGGGGCCTGGATGGATGTTTTTCATCAGCCTCCAAGCAATGACTTGCACCTGGGCCAGCACAAGGACACTTCCACCTCCTGCAGCCAGCTCAGTCTCCCCAAAACAAGAGGTGGAGAACCTCTGTGCAAAGAGGAACAACCTTCCCTCGGACCTCAGGCCTTCCATCTGCTATCCCTACTCCTTCAGGGATGAGGAAGAGCAAAGTTGGTGAGAAACAGGACGGACGGCTGCTGCACAGATTTGACTTCCACTACCTGCTGCGCTCTTTCTGCATCCTCTCAGGTTTTCAGATGGACGATGACGAAGACCTCCCATATGACCATCTGACCGTGAACCTTCCTCCTGTATCACACTTGACTTGTGTCCAACCTGATCTCCTTTGGGAAGAATGGTAACTTCCACTTAATGATGAATGTTCCAACACTGGGTCACACCCTACACATCCCAGTGATCTCATTCCCCACCCAGACCACCACATTTCTTATTCCCATCCCAAAATTTCAACCATACCTCACCACCTACCCCTTCCATCATAAACCGTGGATAGCATAATGGTCTTCAATGCAAAGAATAAGTTGAGGCCATGCACTCCTCCCCTCTTCTCATCTCTCTCATATGTTCCTTCTGCCACTATCTCCTCCATCCTGTCACCTTCAATAGATTTCCCCCCTCTGTCATCCCTATTCTGTCACTTACTATATTTATTTATTGTTACATTGAAGTTCCAAGCTATCTGCCATCCTCCCAACCCCACACTGGAGAAGGCCAACATTTCATACACACACACACACACACACACACACACACACACATGAAACTACAGTCCATCTCTCCATATCAGTTCTTTTTCTGGAGGTGGGTAGCATCTTCCTCATAGGTCCTTTGTAGTTGATTAGAATATTCATATAACTCAGAATAGCTTAGTCATTCACATTTACTCTTTGAACAATATAGCTGTTACTATATACAATGTTCTCTTGGTTCTGCTCATTTCACTCCATTATTTTATTCAAGTCTTTCCATGTTTTCCTAAAATCAACCTGCGTATGATTTCTTACGGCACAGTAGTATTCCATCACAATCATATACCACAATTTATTCAGTCATTCCCCAATTGATAGGCATCCCTTCAATTTCCAGTTCCTTTCCACCACAAAGAGTTCCTATAAATATTTTAGAACATATAGGTTCTTTTTCTTTTTCCCTGATCACCTTGGGAAACAGACCTAATAGTAGTATTACTGGGTCAAAGGGTATGTACAGTTTTAGAACTCTTAGGGCATAATTCCAGATTATTCTCCAAAATGATTGGATCAGTTCACAGTTCCACCAACAATATGTTAGTGTCCCAGTTTTTCACATCTCCTATCATTTTGTCATTTTCCTCCTATCATTCTAGCCAATCTGATAAGTGTGAGATGGTATCTCAAAGTTGTTTTAATTTGCGTGTCTAGTCAATGATTTAGAGCATTTTTTTAATCTGACTATAGCTTTGATTTCTTCCCCCAAAACACCTGTTCATATTGAGAGAAATTATATTATTTTCTATTAATAACCAATTATTAAATTAGGATTAAGGTTTTCCCCTTTGTTTTCTCATTCAGGGACCAGTCCCTGTAGGCCAGTCAGATGAGATTGCCTAAATGCCCTGGGTACATGCTCTGGGATCTTAGGCAGGAACCCAACCCCACCCACCCCCCTAACTAGAAGACCATACTTCTGTTTAGAATGTACATAGAATCTAATCTAGGTGAATTCTTGCCCTTAGAAAATAAGCCCATGTCATTGTATCCCTTCATTGGAGTTTAGAGTAACCCAACTGATGGAGAAAACCAACCAGAGTGGTCAGGGTAGAACTGATTCCTTTGTCCAGATTGCTGGAGGTGGCTGAGTCTCATGATCAAGTCACATTCTCAGCAGGAGGCCCTGAAAACGTTTAACCCACCTCCTCATTAATTGTTCACCAGAGTTGATTTTCACCTGTCATGGGCACCTCCTTTTCCAAAGGTATTTAAGCATTTAATGAGCTCCATGATTTTGTCTTTGATTACTTAGAGAAACGCTGACCGTCTGTCTATTGATTATCAGCTACCGTAATTAGTAAACTGATTATTAATTACCCAGAAACTCTGTCTCTTGGGCTTTTCATTTGTCTCACATATCTTTTGACCATTTATCAGGTGGGGAATGATTCACATTCTTATAAATTTGACAAAGTTGTTTATATATTTGAGATACAAAACCTTTATCTGAGAAATTTTCTATAAAAAATGTTTTCCAAACTTTCTGCTTTCCTTCTAATCTTGGCTACATTGGTTTTATTTGCACAAAAACTTTTAATTTAGAAAAATCAAAATTATCCATTTTACAGCTCACAGTGTTCTCACTTATTTATTCATAAGTTCTTATTCCACCCATAAATATAATCAGTAATATGTTCCATGTTCTAATTTACTTGTAATGTCTCCCTTTATATTTAGCTCATGTATACATTTTGACCTTATCTTGGTAAATGGTGTAAGATATACGTCTATATATGTGTGTGTATATGTATATATATATATATATATATATACATATACACACACACATATGTCTATACCTAATTTCTGCCAGACTACTTTCCAGTTTTCCCAAGAATTTTTACCAGTGAATTCTTATCCTGAAAGCTTGAATCTTTACATTTATCAAACACAAGTTTACTATAATCATTTATTAATGTGTATTGTGTCTACGCTATTCCACTGATCTGTATTTCTTAGCCAGTATGAGATAGTTTTGATAATTACAACTTTATAATACAGTTTAAGATCTTATACTGTTAGACCTTCTTACTTCACGTTTTTTAATTTCTTTGATATTCTTGACCTTTTGTTCTCCAAATGAATTTTGTTATTATTTTTTTCTAGCTCAATAAAATAATTTTTGATAATTCAGTTGGGATGGCACTAATAAGTAGATTAATTTAGGTAGAATTGTCACTTTTAATGTATTGGCTCAGCCCATCCATGAACAATTAATATTTCTCCAATTATTTTAATCTTAATTTATCTGTATAAAAAGTGTTTTATAATCACATTCATATAGTTCCTGAGTTTGTCTTGGCAAGTATACTTCCAGGTATTTTATATTGTCTATGGTTATTTTAAATGAACTATCTCTTTTTATCTTTTTGTGTAGGCCTTTGTTGGTAATATATAGTAATGCTGATGAATTATTTGGGTTTATTTTATATCCTGCTACTTTGCTAAAATTATTAATTGTTTCAACTACCTTTTTAGTTGAATCTCTAGGGTTTTCCGAATATTCTGTCATATCGTCTGCAAAAAGAGATAGTTTTATTACCTCATTGTTTATTCTGATTCCTTCTATTTGTTTTTCTCTTCTGATTGCTATTGCTAGCATTTCTAGTATAATATTAAACAATATTGGTGATAATAAGCATTTGTGGCATTAAATATTAATATTAATAAAACTTTTAAATAATATTGGTGATAATAGACTTGATCTTATTGGGAAGGCTTCTAGCTTATTCCCATTATAGATAGTGCTTGCGGATGGTTTTAGGCAGATGCTTCTTATGATTTTAAGGAAAAATTTATTTATATCTATGCTTTCAAGTGTTTTTAATAGGGATGAGTGTTGTATTTTGTCAAAAGCTTTTACTGCATCTATTGATATAATCATGTGAGTCTTGTCACTATTGTTATTGAAGTAATAAATTATGTTAATAGTTTTCCTTATATTGAACCAACCCTGCATTCCTGGTATAAATCCCATTTGGTCAAAATATATAATTTTTGTGATATATTGTAGTCTCCTAGCTAGTATTTTATTTAGGATTTTTACATTAATATTCACTAGTGAAATTGATCTGTAATTTTCTTTCTCTGTTTTTGCTCGTCCTTGTTTAGGTGTCAGTACCATATTTCTTTTATAAAAGTAGTTTGGTGGAACTCCTTTGCCTATTATTCCATATAAGTTATTTAATATTTGAATGAGTTGATCTTTAAATGTTTCATATAATTCATTTGTAAATCCATTTGGTCCTGATTCTTTTTTTCTTAGAAAGCTCATTCGATTTAGGAATCAGGCTTAGGAAG